GTCTGGATTTGTTGTTCTCTAGTCAGTCCGATATCTGTGTTACGATCTGTGATACAACTTCAATTTGGCCATTACCTCACCCAGGAATATCGCATGTGATTATTTTTATTATAATTATAAGTGTGCTAATTACAAAGAAATTAATCTGTTTTTGTCAAATGTCAACTGGCATTATATTTTTAAGTGTACGGATGTGAACTTGATCGTCTCGCAGTTCTATGATGTTCTCTTTTGTGCTATTGAATTATTTACTCCTATCGTTCGCTATACAAGTAAAAAAATTCCCAAGTGGATGAATGGCAACGTTAAATCTTTAATTCTAGAGAAGAAGAAAGCTCATAAAATCTTTGAAATGCGCTAATTCTTTAGAGGACTATTGTGTTTTTTCTCGACTGAGGGATCAGTGTAGAAATTTATCTGTCTCTTCTCATACAGACTACATCGGAATGCTCGAAAACCAGTTAACTGATAAAAAGTCCTTTTGGCGATATGTGAATTCAAAGAAGAAAAACCTTGAGTATCCAAAATGCATGTCGCTTGATGATGAAAGTACCAGCGACACTCAGAGAATAGCGGATATGTTTAACCAACATTTCACCTCAATCTATTCAAAATATGCAGAATGCCATACATCATTTTCTTGTGATAAATCGGTTAGTCTAGGATTTTTAAAATTAAATGTTGTCGATGTTTTCAATAGAATAAGTATTTTAAAGCAAACCTTAGGACCGGAACCCGACGGTATACCTGTGATACTGGTGCAGAATTGTAAATTCGTTCTACCCGAAATTTTATGTAAAATTTTTAATTTTTCACTAAGCTGCGGCGTTTTTCCTTCATATTCGAAAAAAATTTGTGTTACACCCATTTGCAAAGATGGTGACAGGGCTAACATAAAAAACTATCGCCCAATCTCTAAAATCTGCTTGTTTTCGAAAATATTTGAGGGTATAGTTGCCGATTATGTCACCCCTCATTTTAAAAGCGTTATTATAACCGAACAGCATGGTTTTGTCAAGGGAAGGTCAACTGTTTCGAACCTCCTGAGTTATGAGCGTTCGCTATTGGGGGCCTTTGAGAATAAGTATCAAGCAGATGCTATATATGCTGACTTCTCCAAGGCCTTCGACAAGGTTGACCACGGCATTCTGGTAAGGAAGCTCTCAGGGATGGGAATCTTTGGAGACCTTCTAAATTGGTTTCGCAGTAATATCACTAACCGGAAGCAATCAGTTAAAGTTAAAAATTACATTTCGTTAGAGACTGTTGTGACGTCGGGTGTACCACAAGGGGGACACATTTCATATTCCTTTTTAATGTCTTCATTAATGACCTAAAAAATATTTTTCGGTTTTGCCAATTTCTTGCATTTGCGGATGATCTAAAGCTTTTTAAGGTTATAGCATCACCTCTTGACTGTCATCGATTACAGGAGGATCTTGATAGGTTTTCTTTGTGGTGCAGACAGAACAATTTAACTCTTAATACAAACAAGTGCAAAATTGTAAGCTTTGGCAGATCGAAAAATCCAGTAACCTTCACCTATCATTTGAACTCTGGATCGATGAAACCAATTTAGAAGGTCTCTAAAGATTCCCATCTCTGAGAGCTTTCTTACCAGAATGCCATGGTCAAGAGAGAGAACCTAGTTAAAAATCTTGGAGTTTGGCTCGATTCGGAGCTCACATTTACATATCACATTGATTTTATGACTAACAGAGCTATTCGATTGCTTGGGTTTGTTTTTCGGACTTTGAAGGGTTTTGAGAACATCTTTACGTATAGGGAGCTGTACTGTGCGCTTGTGCGTTCAATTTTAGAGTATGATAGCTGTGTCTGGAAACCATACTATGCAATTCACAAGGAAAGAATAGAGCGTGTGCAGCGTAAGTTCCTTAGAGAGATAGGTTTTAAATGGGAAATGTCATCTGAGGATATATACTACGAGGAGATTATGAAACTTTTGAATCTGACATCTTTGGAGAGTAGGCGCATATTTTTTGACATTGTTACATTATACAAAATCCTTAATAATTTGATGGATTCACCAGATGTTCTGGCATCTGTTGGTTTTCATATTTCTCCTATTAATGCAAGAAATAATGCTCTTTTTAATATTGATTCTCATAGGACCAACTATGGCATTAACCCGCCTATGAATCGAATGTGCAAGCTGACAAATATTTTACTCGCAAATAACGAGCATATTGATTTATTTTCTGACTCTCTCAGTAGTTTTAATCGCAAAGCAAAGATATCTGTTTATAATCAAAACTTGGTAATTTAGCAACTGTAAGTGTTGGTGTTACTATTTTTATTAGGTTATACTATATTGTAATAATAATGTAAATGCTATATGCGAAAAAAAAAAAGGATGGTGTGATAACAATAACAAGTGTGTACTAGAAGTGCCACCTTTACATGGAAAAATCGTAATAATTCTTCGTGCTGGGTCCAAAAATGGTTGGGTGGCCAAAAATTCAAGTGTTGCCAAAACTATCGCCAAATACTGTTATTGTGTCGGATAATGCCTAAATTAGAAAAATTCCAAATACTTCTTCAAGTAAACAAGAAACTAAAGAATTTCTGAACGAATACGATTTCTATTTTGAAGAGAGCTACACGAAAAAACAACTCCTGGAATTATTAAAAATAAAACATTTTAATAAAGACTACAAAATCGAGTCGATAGCACAACAAAACGGACATGAAATCTTGAGATTATTGTATATTTAACCCGTTTGAGATGATCTGGTCTGAGTTGAAAACACATATAAGAAGAAATAATACTACACCAAAATTTAGTGATGGTACCATAAACGTAATTCGGCAAGAGGTAGCTAAAATATCGGTACAAAGCTCGTCTAACTGCGAAAAACGAGCAATAAAAGAAGAAAATATTTATCGAGAATGATTAATGTTAGAGCTGATCATTGAACTAGGTGATGACAGTGCCAATAGTGAAGATTTTTTAAGTGACTGATACTTCATTATTATTATATTTAACATTTTGTATATTAGTAATGATGCTATGTAGAAATTTAATGAAATAGAACGTAATAAATTGTTACTTGGTACTAATTTCTGATGTACATGTTTGAAGAATTTCTCGGCGAAAACATTCCTAGAAAGAAACAATACTTTATATGTTCAAATTCAAATCTGAGGAAGACAATTTTGCAATGGGTGTTATTTTTTAGTCGTCTAGCCAATATCTATAGGTACTGAACCTTATGACCTCCACTAAGAGTGACTTCACACAAATCAAAATATACATCTAAATATTTATTCAAATAAAATATTAATTAAGTAGAAAACAACTTACTCTACAAATAATTGTATCCTATTAATTTGGTTCTACAATTAGCGAGATTGCAAGGAAAGAAAAAAGTTCAGCTATAAGGGCCTTGTGATCTAATCCGTTTTGGCAATAAGCGGGTTTTTAGACTAAATGCAAATTTGAACAGTTATTTGTTTCATAATACTCGTAATTAAAAAGTGGGCGGATATCATTGTTAAATTTAAATAAATTTTACAGATTTTTTGACACATTACCGTTGTCGCAAACGATACAATGCCAAAAATGACCCAAGTTACAACTATTTTGTATCTGTTGGATCTCCGTACTTCTGTGGCGGTTTAAGGCAGCATCCATAAAGAAAATAGACATAGTTAATATTAGATAAACTTAATATATGCTTATTTTACTATTAGCACGATCAATAAATTTAAACTCAGAATCCAGTAGGACACCAAAATTTAAAATCTTAATGTTTCTCTGCTTGTATTTTCCTCAAAAAATAATGGTTTTGTACATCTACATAGACTTGTTAAAATTTACATTTAGCGAGTCTTCTGCCAGGTTTTGATTAATACACTGGCAATTATTTATTTAAAATTTTGCGTCATCAGCGTAGCGTGTAATATTTTGTAGATATAAGCAAATCCGATGTAAATATAATAGAAAATAACCTACTTAAAATAGATCTCACTAAGTTCTCTATAACCTATCATAAAAGTAAATTTTAAGAAAAAGAAGAAGAATAAGTGCTAACTATTTCAGGATATTTGGAGCCCTCAAACGCAAAGCGGGATTTTACGAATTGTTTATGTACGAATTTTCCAAATAAACATCCCTTTGAAAAATAATTATTATGCCCACATTAATATAATTGTGGATTAATTAGCCTATCTTGCTTTGGCGTTATCAAATAAAATAAGTTAAAGACTTTCCCTTTACTGTTTTGTCGAAATTTTTAATATTGCCTGCAATCTCCTAGATAAAATGGAATTAAACATAGGCACAGTATTAATTCAACTCCCATATTGTTGGATTTATATCAAAATTGCGGTCTGAACTTTAACTATTATTCGTGTCTTGTCTTTGTTTGAGTCAAATAATAGTATATTATGGAACAACTGCGGTAAACGGCATTTGACTCACGAGTTTATTTGACACGAGCGGAGCGAGTTTTTAATAAACGAGTGAGTTAAATAGTTTACCGAACATGTTGCATCCTATACTTTTTCTACGACCGTTAGTTTTTGGGGTACATTTTCGCAAAACAACACGAATACATTCACTGACATGACCGTCAGAATTGACAAATGTCAAAATTCAAAGCGTGGGAAATATCTCCGAAAACATCCGAAGTGGTCCGCATTCATGGGAAACGCAACTGACGTGGTAAAGTGACGCTTCCCGCACGTTAGATCGGTGGGTAATTAGGTATTTTACAGACGGGAGTAGAAAAACTATGTTTCTACTCTGCAAAAGACCTTACATCTAAGCCAATCAAAACAGCAACCAATAAATTTGAAGTTTTTAAAAAATCCCCTTACCACTGTATATTTCACCTATCACATTCACAGAGTTTTTAATCTATAATAGTCAAAACCATAATATTTGAGTTTATTCAAAAAAAAGCTATGGTCTGTCGTATCCATACTCTATGACCGCACGAAATCCTGACACGGTGCCCACAAGAAAACTAAACGTCAGAAAAAAACTGTCAGCGCCACCCTGACAGCTGCCCGAAATGTCACACACTTCGAATCATTCCTGGATCGCATCGAGAAATTCAGATCCGAAACTCGAAAATTCCAACCACGTCCACAACAACGACGCACCGGTGAAGATAGCAAATTCTGTATCGTGCAGGATATGCCAGACCAGCACCGCCAGCGAACGCTTAATCTCACCCTGTAGATGTCGCGGTACTTTGGCTAACGTCCACCTGTCTTGCCTAGAACGTTGGCTCAACCAATCTAGCAGGAATTACTGCGAACTCTGCAAGTTCAGGTACAACGCGGTCGAAACTCAGAGGTACCGCCTGCTACAAAGTCTGAGACTGTGGCTGCGACATCCTCAGAACCGGACTCGAGTTCGGTCCGACTGCCTGATCGGGATGCTATTGACCGGCGTAACCACCGGGTTGTTGGCGATTTGCGTATGCGGTATGGATTACTTTGTAGATGAGGCCGTCAAAATGGGAGTCAAGCGGGTCTGGATACAAGTTGGCGTCATCGCTTTTTTGTGTGTGATCGTCGCCGGATACGTGCTGACTGCTTATTTACTGCTCAGGGACCATTTCGTACCTTGGTATGGCTGGTGGCGCAGAGCTGTAAACATCCGGTTAGAGCTTCCTCCGGAATCGATACCGGCATCCGGCGGGAAAATTTGTCAGTGACTGGAGACAGTAGCGCATTGGTTTTTCCGAAATCACAAAAAAAAACGATGATGTTATAGTGGACAAAAATAAAACGCCTTAAGTATTTATGTTGTACTATATCGATTGCGATATGAGTGGAGTTCGTTTCGTATTTCAAATTTAGGTAGTTAGAAGTAAAATACAAAAGCCCATTTCATAGGAAAGGTCAAATTTCTTAATACTAACCGAGCCAATAAAAAAAACAAAGAAAATGTTTCAACGTAACTTGGAAGCTGGCCTTACATGTTGTAAGCATATTTCCATATATTACCGGTTGCAGCTTGTTAATGCGGATCCGCAACTAATGGAAAAATATGGGCAAATTCGTGTGATCTGAAACGTCTTGTAGGTACATCTTTAAATAATAATAATATATACAAAACGTCTGGATTCCTCCTGTGTCGGTTTTTGGTTAGTCGAGTCGAAGTTGCTAACGTTTCGCCAATCATCCTGTTGGCTTCTTCAGAGCTTGACCGAAACTGGCTCGTATTTTACTCTGTAAAGTCTGTTCATAGATATAAGGAAGTGACTAACTGATACGGACCCGGGCAAGCTGTAAGAATGAAATATGGCCGAACAGGTCCGTACTTTCCTTAGAATTTAATTATTTGGGGTTTTGTTAGGAAAGATACTAAGCAATATTTATTTATTTATGTTTAAATCTAAAATAAAATTACAAATTATTTTTATTACCTATTTAAATTACTTAAAATTATTCCCATAATATATTAATATCACTATCGCTATCATCGCCTGTTCTAATTATTTGCAATATGGATATACGATTGTTCTAATTTTTCTATATGTTTAACAGAATTTTCCCATCTTGTTAAAAACTTTGGTTTCTATAGGTTTGAGGACATTGGAGTTGGAGTTGGGGACGTTGGGGAAAAACATTGTTATGACAAATGGCAGATTTCAGTTGGCGCCAAACATGTTCAATGGGATTAAATATACAGTGGTAAGGTGGAAGCCTTAAAACTGTATGCCCTGGATTTTTTGCATGATTATCACAGACGTGTTTCTTTTGTAGGTTCAAGCTTTGTAGAACCTCAATAATTGCTTTTTGGTATAATCTTCATGAAAATAATTACTATTATACATGTAGTTTTGGATTGTTGCTTTTGTGCCACATGAGGAAAGAGTTTTAGTCAAATGTCTACTGTGATAACTTGCATTGTCTATTACAATGATGCTATTAGGAGGAATGTTTGAAACTAGTTTGTTTTTAAACCAACTTTCAAATAAATCAGCGTTGGTGTCTTCATGGTAATTCAGAGAAGAATCTTTAATATTTTTTGCAGACAGAGAAAGTCCATTTGGAATCCAACCATCTGTAGAACCAGCATGCAAAATAGTTCTTCATTTACCTCTTCTTGATGGCACGTTTGTTTTACACTTATCAGTTGAGTCTACCCAATCCTTTTCCGAGGTATCATAAGTATCGAACCAGGTTTCATCCAAGTAAATAATTGGCCTTTCTTGTTCTCTGTAAATCCTATTTTTTTCTAGATATTCCAGTCGCCGTTTCCGAATTCTAAAAGATTCCATTAAAAGTTGCCTTTTGTCAATTTTTTAAAATCTAAAACCCGTATATTGAATGCCCTTCCATAAGATAGTTCCGGTTTCATCTTTTTCAAGCCTCCTAATTAAGATATCCAATGTATCTTGATTACTTTCATCTGTACTCGAGAAAATATTAACATCGCTTCTTTTTTTCTTCGCTGAAATGGAATTATTCACAATTTCCCATACAGTTGATATTGGAATTTTCGTCAAAGTGACAATTTCTTCTAAAGATGCTTGCTTGCAGGCACCACGTTCAATGTGAGTCAAATAAACATTGTTTATAACTTCCTTAATCTCAATAAAATAGTGTTTTCTACATTTGGGCGAGAGCATCTCCCGAGATACACTAGACTCGCACATATTTTGCATAATTCGCACACGATTCAACACACGCTGTATTACACACGAAATAAGAATTATTACTAATAAACTTAAACTAAATAGTATACCGTACCAAAGAATATTAAACACAATTAGGTATAAAATTATTTTCTATTACGGACCACAATTTTACCTGAATTTGAATTCCGAAACTTTAGGTAATAATCTTATTGCCTTGAATGTTAATGACGAACCTTGGATAATCCCATTCAAAAGCAATTGGTCACTTTCTTATATCTATGAACAGACATTACCTGCTTATATATTGTTTGAGGAAGGCGCTAAACGCCGTCTCGGATGACTGATTCCCATATTGGTGACAGGTAGAGACCTGAGTCGCGGTTAAGATTGTTAGGTTGTTTATAGATTTCTGTAGACTCTCGGATTTTTCGTTGGTAGAAGAACTACAAGAATTTAAGTTTTATCGAATAAAATTTTTTGTCCGGTTTCGTGATTGTGTTCGGCAACAGCTGATGAGTTTATTTGTCTTAGTCGTAAGGCACTTTCGTGTTCTTTGAGCCTAGTTGATATTTTTCGTCCGGTCTCTCCAAAGTATTCTTTGCCGCATATGCATGGAATGCTGTAAACTCCTGGCATCTCAAGTGGAATTTTGTTTTTGATGGACCGAAGAGATTGAGAGATTCTTGGGCAAGTGGTAAATCTGGTTTTGACGTTATACTTCTTTAGAACTTTTGATATGTGGTCAGTGATGTTTTGAATGTAAGGAAGGCCCACAGTGGACAGGGTAAGATTTTCGGCCTCATTGCTATTGGAAGGTTGTGGTGAAGTGTATTTTTTGATGGAACGCTTAATATATTTAATGTGGAAATTATTAGAGAGACTTGGGCTGAGATAGTTTAACGGCTCTGTAAACAAGAGAGTTGATAACCGATAATTTTTGGGCCAGATGGTGATGTGACCATGCATTAAGGTATCGGTCTGTGTGTATGGTAATGGTAAAACATATGTTAGGGTGTATCGAGTTTAAATGTCTAAGAAAATCTACTAGGGTTTCTTGATCAGGAGTCCAAATAACAAAAGTATCATCGACGTAGCGTTTCCATAATTTTGGTTTTAGATGAAAGGTGTCGAGAGCTTTCTTCTCAAAGGCCTCCATAAATATATTCGCGATGACTGGTGATAGTGGAGAACCCATAGCTGTTTCCGGCGTTTGTTCAAAAATTTGACCGTTATAAGAAATATATGTTCCCGAAAAGCATTTTCCAATTAAGGTGAGAAGGTTTGGTTCCAAATTCTCGGATTTTAATATATCTGAAATGATGTCGAGAGTTTCAGGAACAGAAACTTTGGTAAAGAGGGATTCTATGTCGAATCTAACTAGAATATCTTGTGTATCTAATGTAATGCTTTTTAATTGTTCAATGAAGTGAAAGGAATTAAGTACGAAACTGTCAGTTTTCCCTGTAAGGGGTTTTAATAAAGAAGCTAGATATTTTGCTAGAGAATATGTTGGAGAACCAATGGTGCTGGCAATACGTCGAAGGGGTAATCCTGGTTTGTGAATCTTTGGAAGTCCGTAGAGACGAGGAATTTTAGAGTCGTGAGGGGTGACAGATTTTTTCACGGAGTCTGATAGAGAAGCAGCCTTAATACCGGATTTTTTAGGTTGACGATATGATCCGTCTGTAAGAATATCTTGAATCTTTTCCTGATATTCATTTGTATCCATGACTACCGAAGCATTTCCTTTATCTGCTTTTAGGATTACGATGTCTGGATTGGATTTTAGAGATTTTAGGGCGATGCGTTCAGGCTTTGCAGTATTGGATTTAGGAGGTTTTGATTTTTCAAGGATTTTTGCGATTTCAAATCGAATTTCATTAGCTGTGTGAGATGGCAGTTTGTTTAGGATAGACTCGACATTTGAATTGATTTCCTCTTTTGGGATAATACGTGGCGCAAGGACGACGTTCGAACCTTTTGAAAAATATATACAGGGTGTTCGGAAATTGAGTTCGGAAACTTGAAGGAAGTAGCAGACTTTTTCAAATTTCAGCCCTGTTAAGTAAAATCACATTTACATGTAAAATTCGAGCCGAGAATAAAATATCGATTTGTGGCTAAACGATAACACTTATGGACTTAAAACAAGAGTAGCAATTTTTGAGTATTTGTGATTCTGCTTAAGGCTATGTTGTATTTTGCAATATCAGTCTAAAAAAATAAAATACAGTAAAAATAAAAAAAATGTTCTAAGTAAAGTGCCCTCTAGTGACAGATATCTGAAACGCTTTTATTGTATAACGATGACTTTTACTAAATCAGGGCTGTATGTGTGTTCCGTTAAGAAATAAGCCTACTGCGTTAAAAATAAAATTAAAAAAAAAATAATTTTGACAAGCTATAAGTTGGAAAATATTACGATTTTTTACTATCATTATTTTACCACGTTGAATCTTTCCTCCAAGTTTCCGAACTCAATTTCCGAATACCCTGTATACTACAGCTCCACAAACTTATGGAATAATTATAGATATGGTACGAATAGTCAAATAGTTCATGTCTTGTTTTGATATATATAGAGCTAATGCAGTTAATGAATACTCGAAATTAATTAAAATCCTTGCTGTAAAATTCGAGAACTGGCATTGTGTAAACAAATTTGCAGCTGCAATTACAGTATCCCCCATGGTTAGGCTACTGAATGTTGTAGTCAATTTATTTGCCTTAATATTATTGCACGCTACAAAAACGCACTAAACTAATTTGTGCGACTGAAGAGGTAGTGTGAACCTGCTTTAAATACTTTAAGGATTCACATGTCTTCGTACTATTTTGTTTTGAGTAAAGTTACAACGTACCTCTAGTATTTAAAGTGTGTGTATCATAGTTTTCATTTTTTTTTCATATTTATCGCGATTTTGTAATATGGTGTCCATGACACATCACTTGTAACTTAACGTAAAATCACTATAAACGTTTTGAACAACTGAAAAAATAAAAGAAATCAAACGAACGTATGAACTAAACGAGAGTTTCTGACAAAATTCGTATCTTTAGAATTGAAAAGAAAAAAACCGAAAAGAAAACCGGCTCGACGGGTCACTTTAAAACTTAAACGAAACAGCAACCGCCTATTTAGTGTCAGCCCGCCCCCACTCCGAAAACATTTACAATCAGGAATTACGTCCCCAGACGTTGCCGCTTCCTTCGAAGAGCCTTGAATAATGAACCCGGGTTGACTGCCGGACTTCCTCTTTAATTCCCCTAATTCAATTCTAGCGAACCAAAATAAACGAGGCACTTTTCGAATACTTTAATACTGCTTTGCTGGTGTATATGACTCGTCTTGGATATTATGACTAATAATTACATTTATACAGGGTATTATTGAATTGACATCGTTTGATTTAATGATTTAATCTAGTCCGCTAGTGGACTCACTAATGTCTAATGTCCCCATAATAAAATAGCAGTGCAATATGCAGTGTTAATAAGCGAAACAACACTACCGCTTAGTTTTTTTTTCATATTTAGAAACGGTGCCTCCATTTCAAAACTTATTGCTGTAATTCCCATTCTCTCCAGTGACACGACAAGCCATTTACCGGAAAATGGGCCCTTTAGATGACTTAATGGAATGTGGTTTATGCATGCACCGGCACATTTTAGCATCCGAGCGAGAGTTTTTGGAATCAAAATTTTAATCATAGTTGGATAGGTAGGGTCTGACCTCAGCCGGCTTTCTAGGATAGCAGATTTTAATACATTGGATTATCACTGACGACATCTAAAAGCCTTTGTTTACCAAAGTTATCATTGCACGTGCTTTTAAGAAGCAAAACAATTTTGTAAAATAACATTTTTTAATCAATATTAATTATTTTTCAAAGACATTAAATTGACGAATACTACGTATTCAGCCTTTACCTGGGCTACTTTAAATCATCGTACAAGAGTCTATTATTTAAGACCTTAGTTCTTCCCCGTTATGTAAAAAAAAACAACTTGAACACCCTGTATATCGAAAACGGAGTATTTTAGACAACAATTTTTTAATGACTTTTTACCAGTATTCTTCAAGACAACAGTTTATTAACATCTTCCGATTCCATAGTAACATGTGTTATCAATACATTACTAAATCAGAGAAGCGCGTTTATTACTTTAGGACCATGTACTATGCCACGAACTGTAACTAACGAAAGGCTTGTTTTACAGGTATCATGGATCAGGAAGCGAGATCTTCACATATTAACCGCCGGCATTTTGACATACACATCAGATCAGCGATTTCAGGTGAGTGGTTAAGTTCATAGACAACTTTAATTTAAACTTAATATGTAATCCAAATTAACGCAAATATAAACCGGACAGACGAGCAGATCTGCACGTCGAGAAGCCCAGCAGTAGCGGTAGCGATGAAGTCATGAGAGGGTCCTGTCCTCCCTCAATAACAGTCGCCACATCGACATAAATAGTTTCAGTATTTGCATTTTAGTAAAGTTAAGCATACATTCCGCATACCGCATCCCAGGGTGCAAAGTTTAAATTAATAAATTTAAAAAATTATAAGTATCAGTCACATATCAATACAAGCATCAGTACTAAACATCAAAAAATATTGCGACGACATATCGACAGAGTATTTTGCGCAGAATTGAAATAGAGTGAGAGAAAAAAAAATGCAATGGCGGCTTAACATCCACCACAGAATCTGCGCAGAATAGCCTAACTAAAGAATAGTCGTCATTTCCTGGTTCTGTTGGCCAGGTTAACAAGAATCATTCGACCAGGCATATAATATGGACTTGTCACAGTTTTGAATACGATGATATAATTTTACGAAAACGACCGATCGAACAATGGAACACGAGTGCCCGTAACGCATCGGCTTCCCATCATCCGTCATTTAGCTGACAATCGAAACGTCACAAACATGGCCTACTTGGCGAGGAGTACAGCGATCGCTTGAAGTGTACGAAACAAAAACCGCTTACCCAGAAATATACAGGGTGTTCCGTGTCGATTGTTCTAAATATTGGCAACGTTGTATTTCCAAATATCACAACTACTGCTTTTCGAAAAAAAAAAACATGTAGTAATAATATCATTCTTTTCGGTGATGTTAAATAAATCAAATCTAGGGCGTTTCTTTTCTTATTTGTTTTCGACAGATCTGGCAACTCCGAATTTGCAGAAATATTTCCAAAAAAAAAACACGAATCCAATATGACGCGCGTGTTAATTCTAAGTAAATTAATTTCGATATTCCGATATTTAATTAGATCCGTAGCAACATGGCGCCCGTTCCAAATTTAATATTTGCCGTGGGGCTTGCTGAAAACACAACGTTTCTGTTATTCATTTTCGCATTCCAGTTAATATACATAAACGGCAAATGAGATTTGGGAGGGGGGGCTATACCAATGTCGAATGGCGCAATGGTGAAAATTATCCCCACGCAACCCGAAAGTTTTGCATTAATGAAAGAGATGTGCATCTTTCGTCTGACACGAATACGTGCCTACATATATTGCGACATTACTTTGTCCTTTAATGATTTGGCTGATCCGATAAGACATCATTATTATTGAAATTAAATTTATTTTTGAACTTTTGGCATAGTATATCAAAGAACATTTTAACGCCGTCTTTTTACAGCCAACATTCAAAAGTTATTAAAAACTGGACAGCTGGTTGCTTAACAGCGCTTGTAAATGGACACCGAACATGAGCCAATAATAATTATTGTAACTGGCTTCCAAAACGTGAGTTTTTTCGTAATGGCCAAAAGTTTCCACCTACGATCTTGTTTGTAACTCTGTAACCACGCTGTGTATTTGAACAAAATTTTGATGTGATGTGTTGCAGGTAAAAGTGCATGCTTTCCTCTGTTGTGTTGTCGAAACAATTGTCATGTCATAATATATAATTTCGTGAAAATCTGAACTTTTAGTTCTTATTTATTTTGGTACAGGGCATCCCAATAACTTACATTTCTGAAAAAAACTTTATATTTTTAAATGCAATGCAAATGATTTTTAAAACGAGGAATAATTTTTATTCACTCAAATTTAAGAAACGGCTACCGATGGGTACGGAGTATATATAGAGATCTTGTGGATAAAGTCTTGAAGTTCTGGATGGTAATGTCAAATATGGGGTTGTACTTAAAAAATATGAGCTTTTACTGTTACAATTTTTTTTGTATGTTTTTTCACACATCCTGTATGACCATCAAAGTCAGGTCACTGAACAAAGTCGGGTCACTCAAAGAATAGTATATCATGCAACAAGTGCGGTAAACGGCATTTGACTCACGAGCTTATTTGACACGAGCGGAGCGAGTGTTTAATAAATGAGTGACTTAAAGAGTTTACCGAACGTGCTGCATACTATACTTTTTCTACGACCGTTAGTTTTCGGGTACATTTTCGCAAAGCATCGCGAATACATTCACTGACATAACCGTCAGAATTGATAAACGTCAAATTTTAAAGCGTGAGAGATATCTCCGTAAACATCCGATTGCTCCCAAACCCGTGCGGTAAAATCCCGGAAATGTCCGAAGTGGCTCGCAAAGGTATTAACTAACCCCTGTAAAATTTTGCAAAAAGATATTTAGCTTTTATAAACTGGTATTTATCTGCAAACAAAAAATGTTCTTTTTTCCGGAATAAGGGAAAGAGGTAGGTATGTATGTAAACAAAAGTTACCTAAAATTTTGCATAAAAAACAGAAAACACAGTGTTCCATTTCAAATGACAATATTGAGTTGAATTAAAAATTGAAAAAAAACTGTTTAGTTTTCCAAAACTTGTAATAGGACGTGGATGACTCTTTATACGTTTCCCTTTGTGCATATGGCGTATACAACACTACGGAAAGTAAAACTAAAACTGTCATTAAGTATGAAAACGTTTTAAAACTAAGAAAATATGTAAACAAATCAGATGACACCGACTTCTAGCAGTGTATTTATTCGATTGCTGAACATTCCGCCGCATTCGGCAAAATGTCGAGCCGCGACGCAAATCGTCTCAGTCGAAATAATGTACGAAAGGACAATAATGACGAAACGCGACCCAATTAGAAAACATCCGGCTCGTTGCTCGGTCGGGCAGACGAACAATTTCTGGATGCGAAACGAACGACGAGAAAAGGGAAACCTTCGCCGGTAAACATTCTATTGTTTACGGTACGATATTAAATTGTAATAAATAAGGTAATTTCGTACAGAGCGCAGAGACAGCGGCACTGTTAATTTAATTGCTAGTTTTGATTTAATTAAGTTACGGGCAAATATTCGGTATATTTGTTGAAGATATCAACATTAAATAAAAACTCCAGTGCTTGTGTACGTATGGTCTGTTAATAGATATAAGAAAGTGACCAATTGCTTTTGAATGAGATTAGCCAAGGGTGGTCATTAACATACAATGCAACAAGATTATTAACTAAAGTTTCGGAATTTAAATTCAGGTAAAATTGTGGTCCGTAATAGAAAATAATTTTATACCTACCGGTGTTTAATATGCTTTGTTTTGGTATACTACTTAGTTTAAGTTTATTAGTAATCATTCTTATTTCGTGTGTAATACAGCGTGTGTTGAATCGTGTGCGAATTATGGAAAATATGTGCGAGTCTAGTGTATTCTATTCTATTCTATTGAGACTAAGGAAGTTATAAACAATGTTTTTTTGACTCTCATTGATCGTGGTGCAAGCATCTTTAGAAGAAACGGCCACATTGACGAAAATTCTAACATTAACTGTATGGAAAATTGTGAATAATCCCATTTCAGCCAAGAAAAAAAGAAGCGATGCTGACATTTTGTCGAGTGTAGATGGAAGTGATCAAGATATAATACGGCGCAAAATTTACCAGTTGTCCGAGGAACAAAGCGTGCCTACATTAGATATCTTAATTAGGAGGCTCGAAAAAGATGAAACCGGTGTTAAATGTGGCAGAACTACCTTATGGAAGTGTATTCGACTTTAGATTTTAAAAAAATGACAACAGGCAAGTTTTAATGGAATATTTTAGAATTCGGAAATGGCGACTGAAATATCTAGAAAAAAATAGGATTTACAGAGAACAACAAGCCCAATTATTTACTTGGATGAAACCTAGTTCGACACTTATGATACTCCGGAAAAGGGTTGTGTTGACTCAACTGATAAGTGAAAAACAAACGCGCCATCAAAAAGAGGTAAAAGAATAACTATTTTGCAGGCTGGCTCTAAAGATGCTTGGATTCCAAATGAACTTTCTCTGTCTGCGAAAAATATTAAAGATTCTTCTCTGGATTACCATGAAGACACCACCGCTGATTTATTTGAAAGTTGGTTTAAAAACAAACTAGTTCCAAACATTCCTCCTAATAGAACCATTGTAATAGACAATGCAAGTTATCACAGTAGACAGTTGAATAAAACCCCTCATGTGACACAAAAGCAACAATTCAAAACTACATGTATAATAACGACATTTATTTTCACGAAGATTATACCAAAAAGCAATTAATTGAGTTTCTACAAAGCTTGAAACTACAAAAGGAATATGTCTATCATATTTATTCAAAAAATCTAGGGAATACAGTTTTAAGGCCTCCACCACCACTGTATATTTAATGCCATTGAACATGTTTGCCTCCAACTGAAATCTGCGATCCGTCGTAACAATGTTTTCCCCCGTGTTAACTCCAATGTCCTCAAACTTATAGAAACCGAAGTTTTTAACATTCCTAAATTCTGTTAAACATATAGAAAAAGCAGAACAATCGTATATCCATATTGCAAATAATATAGAACAAATAATAATTAGAACAGGCGATGATAGCGATAGTGATATTATGCGAATAATTTTAAGTAATTTTAGTAGGTAATAAAAATAATTGGTAATTTTATTTTAGATTTAAAGATAATACATACATAAATAAATAAATATTGTTTAGTATCTTTCATAACAAAACCCCAAATAATTCTAAGCAAAGTATGGACCTGTTCGGCCATATTTCTTTCTTACAGCTTGCCCGGGTCTTTCCTTAATTCGTATCAGTTAGTCACTTTCTTATATCTATGAACAGACTTTACCTGTAACATTAACCAAAACGATCATCTTGAAAAAAATTCAAAGCAAGACCCAGCAAGTCTGTCCTTTGTCTCATAGGTCTGGGATAACTTGGTATAGTTATGGGGCAAAAAGTTGAGGTCAACTTTTGGAGGTTTTTTTCAATTTCAATCTCAATCAATTTCACCTACTAGCATCCGGACCTCTCTAGGATTTTTTTGGTCTTATAATTAACCCTTCCAAATACGACAACATAGGCAGATCTTGCCCCGTGTGACATTTTTTTTTGTTTCTTTTTTTTTCGAAAGTTAGGTTGGCGTCTTCGAATCAAAATCCCGCAGCTGCTATCAGATAAATGCCAGATACTCAGCAACAACGGAGGAAAACTCGAACAGTTTTTGCGATAACACAACACAGTCTTTTTTGGCTTTACATTTTTTTAAAACATGAAATTTTAGTCCTTCTAGTCCAGGAAGCATATTGTTAAATATTAAAATTGAACTTAAGAACCAAAAAAAAGGATTAAAAACTTCTTCTCTGTTGGCGATTTTACCATTCAATGAGACTTTTTATCGGAAAAAATGTTAAACAACTTTGGCGGTAAAATTTGAGATGAAGGCATTGTTGTCATATGTGTTTCGCGATTAAGGCGGATGGTTTATGTTGATATTACTAAAAAAATTAGTTCGTTTGATATCGTTCGCGATTAATTGATTAATCAGATTGTTCACCATTAAAGGAAAATATTCCCCGTTTTAAACCCAAATATTAAACAAATTGCTTGCTTAAGAAACATTAAATAAAAATTATCCCAATAATAGTTTTTGGTATAAAAATTGTATTCTTTAAACCTACCTAACATACTTTAGCAACATATTTGGATTTGTCCTTGACCCTTAATTTCATAGGGAGTGTTTTTAATTTGGATAGTTTGAAGACACATTGCACAAATATCCTTTAGGTTACCAGTGCCTGCAGGAAACCCGATTAAAAATATATGTTTTGTATGCTTCGCCTTGTGGTAAACAGCATTTTTGACTTAAAAAGTTTACCATGAATTTACAAACGTCAAAATTCAATCCGTGCGGTAAAATCTCCGAAAATATCCGATTGCTCCCAAACCCGTACGGTAATATCCGAAGTGGCTCGGATCCGTGGGACAAGAAACTCACGTGGTAAAGAGACGCTTTCCGCATGCTAGACCGGTGTATAATCAGGTATTTTTTCTACTTCCGTCTGTAGAACACCTAATTACACACCGATCTAGCGGGCGGGAAACTTCACTTTACCACGTCAGTTTCGTTTGCCATGGATCCGAGCCAATTCTGGGCTGAGACATTTCTGGGATTTTACCGCACGAATTTGGGAGCAATCGGATGTTTACGGCCTTGAATTTTGACGTTTGCCAATTCTGACGGTCATGTCAGTGATTGTATTCATATTGTTTTGCGAAAATGTACCCAAAAATTAACGGTCGTAGAAAAAGTATAGTATGCAACACGTTCGGTAAACTTTTTAAGTCACTCGTTTATTAAACTTTCGCTCCGCTCGTGTCAAATATACTCGTGAGTCAAATGCCGTTTACCGCACTTGTTGCATAATATACTATTACACAAGGGAGTAGAAAAACATTATGAAATACTTTCAAAGAGCCACATTTGTTTACTGTTAGCATCATCATCTACCAAAATAAATTCGCAAATTTACGTGAAATCAGTGAAATTTTCTATACTACAAATTAAAAAAAAAACATGAAATGTTGTTTTCAAATGTTCTTTTGTAATACAGATTTCGAATGTGTAGTTCCTATTATTGATTTAAGTGTTTATGTAGGATTAATGTTGAATTAAAGTTAATGTTCTCGTGCATATGGCGGACCTTTTAATCGTATTTCCGACCGAGTGCCTTCGCTGACCGCTCGCTCGCAGCCCATTAGTCCGATGAAAGTTCTATTTGTTCGGATTATAGTAGTGCGATTGCGTCGCAGATTACCTTGATAGAGATGCGAAAGTGCGCTTATAAAAGCCGTAGAGTTTCTGGAGACCCGGGCCTCGCGTTTATTATGTATGCAGGATGTTATTAAAATGACCTCAAATAATCTGAGGAGGCAGTCTTAGAATCGAAGCACAAATGGCAAAAATTCTCCTTTGCAAACGATTGCCGAATAGTATTCGAGAAAAATGGACTCAAGGACTAAATGCTCGTTACCGATATGTGGCAAACAATTCCGAGAAGAAATTCTAGCCCACGTTGATGGGCAGAAGGGTATTTTCAACAAGACGTTCATGTTCATACAACTCATATGACAATTTGCAGCTTGTATGACGTTTAATTGATGACCACATTCTGTCTTTAAATAGCGATTTTGAATATCTCCCAGTTTGGTCTTCAAAAATTAAAGGAAAACGCCAAAAAAATAATGAAAATAAATGAAAACAAAGACAGAGCTTAGTATTGACGATGTCTTTTATTTGTGAAACACAATCTTAACATTAGTTTTCACTATCTGAGTTTGGAACCACTGACATTCAAAATTATAACAAGCGGAAGTGATATATTATATTCCTATGTAGATAGTAAAGCGGCGGCGCGGGAGGGGAGAGCCCCGTACCTACCTAAAATGGAAATCGCGTGGGACTCAAACAAATTCGTAACTTGATAAACCCGTCGCGATTAATTCGGTTTTAATTTATTTTTTCAGGTGATCAGGCCGGACAAATCGGACAACTGGACGCTGCAAATTAAATTCCCGCAACAGCGGGATTCGGGGATTTACGAGTGTCAAGTAAACACAGAACCAAAAATGTCGCTTCCATTTAGATTAAATGTAATCGGTAAGTCGCTTACGAGTCTATTATGAGGGTGGGGGAGCAATCGCGCAGTGCCGGATCGTCCGCTTTCGCTGCACTGGGCAAGTAGACAGGCTTGGCTGGTTCTGCCACAGCCGGACTTTAAAATTTCATAAAATTGAACCATTTTAAATGGTTCGGCCATTTTGATCACTGTAACAGAACAGAAAGAAAATTGCAAACATAAAATAAAATATAAATTTGACAGCTTAATTAAAAGTTATAATTTGTATAACCTCTATAATAATGAATTTCATATATTTAGCTTAATCTTTCTGCAATAGAGCAATGGAAATGGCGCTAATGCAGGCACACCACATAGCTGGTAGATGTATAGAGATCATGCCTTCAATAGACCTGTTTTTTCATCAAATCTTGACAATTCAGAATATGCCAAGATCTTAGTATCTGCAGGTCGCTTCTTAGAAACCAAATAGCACACAGTTCAGATTAGCGTGCGCGGTAGATTTCCTTCTGTTCCTTTTATCTAATATTTGAAGTCAACTAAATATTCGTCCTCTTCCTTTCTTTGAACTGTGCAAATAAAAATTATTCCAAGTGGATATCCTACAAACAGAAATCCCTTAAGTTACCGGCAATTAGCGTGACCAAATAGAGCGTGCTCAAAACTATTAGGGCAAAACGGCTTATTCAAAGGAAAAGCCGAACCGCCTACCTCACCATCATTAAATTCATTAATACCCTTGACGGTGTATACGAAAATAAAGGCCAGCGCGCGGAGAACAAGTGGCCGAACGGCGCAACGGCTAACGAAAACGACGAAAGACTACTCAAAACGGCTTCGCAATCGCTTCAAGTAGATTAACGTTAATTATTAAGTGCCGCGTCAGCCCCGACTAGGTCTAATTAAAAATTTACGTCAACTTTGAATTCGACTTCATCAAATTGCCGAAGAAGTTTGCCGGCTTACTTTCCGAGTCCCTAAAGTAAACGCTCGTTTGTTTTCGGCAAGTCGCCATATTCGAGACTCCACCTGCGTCCCATCGTCGAACGTTAAAACGTACAACGCAAACGTTACGGCCTAATAGCGCTCCGCGTGCTAGACCTACGCATGTTGACGCTTTAATTATTTACACACGGCGTCGGTGTACCTTCCCGAAGGGATGGGTCCGGGGTGGGGAGTCGACAGGTAGGGTGGGAAGTGAGCTCTCTCTGGAACGTTAATTCCGCCAACATATTAACTGGATTCGAGTGTTTGTTTTCAGAGCCCAGGGCTCGTATAGTAGGACCAACGGATCTCCATGTCAAAGCGGGCAGCTCGGTTACCCTGACGTGCATAATTAATCAAGGACCACACGCTTTGGGTAACGTCTTTTGGTACAAAGACGCTGCTATATTGGACCCGATGATGACGGACAGTGTCGCGGACAGGAGAGTTTCGATAGAGGTGGGTGGTGTCGGCAATTTTAGGGGTAACCGTAGAGCGTTGGTGACCTTGAGACGTTAGGCTCGTGGTATCGTTAAGGCCAACTTATACAGTACCATCTAGTGCGTTAAAATAACTGTGCCCCATTACATCACATCATGAGAATAATATTTGTACCTTTAGAATGTGGACAACACAAAATTAATGCGATTTTGACCTGCTTCAATTATTTAATGCTGTATACATATAGATGTGGTTGATTCCGTTTCAACTATGATTTGTCGTATTATTTGTTCTCCTGATTAATTAATAATATAGTGACATTTTTGTATTAATTAGATGACCATGAACATATTCCATCATATTTTTTATATAATATAATTTGCCATTCAGAGAGAACCTACAATATATCAGCTAAATAGCAATACCGTATCATGTCCATTTATAAAATTTATGTATCAATCCTTTTTTTTGCACTATAAACGATTGAAACTAATTTTAATTTTTTATTTCTATGATTAAACTAAAAACATTGACACTTTTTGGTTAATGTTTTAAGTTAACAATGAATTCAATTCAATAACTTTTGTCTTTAGGAGGGATTGAGGAATATTAGAATTTCAATTTATATGACTCGAGTGTCATCTATCTACCTTGAGATTTATGAAACGTTTAGTAAATCATGAGATAGTTTTACAGCTCTCAGCCCAAGTCACTGAAAACAGAATTAAAACGCCTTACCTCTGCTCTTCTCTCTCATAATTTCCACATTAAAGATATTAAGCATTCCATCAAAAACTACATTTCACCACAACCTTCCAATAGCAATGAGGCCGAAAGCAATCCCACACTTGCCACTGTGGTCCTTCCTTAGATTCAAAACATCACTGACCACATATCAAAAGTTCTAAAGAAGTATAACGTCAAAACCAGATTTACCACTTGTCCAAAAGTCTCTCAACATCTTCGGTCCGTCAAAGATAAAATTCCTATTTGAGATGCCAGGAGTTTTTTATTTTATGCATATGCGGCAAAGAATACATTGGAGAGACCGGACGAAAAATATCAACTAGGCTCAAAGAACACGAAAGAGCCTTGCGAGTAAGACAAATAAACTTTTTTTTTCAAAAAAACTTCCACAGGCTACTGTAATGCTTTTTACAAAACTTCTGGATTCCTCCTGCGTCGGATATTGCTTAGTCGAAATTGCTGACGTTTCGTCAATCATCCTGTTGGGTTCTTCAGAGCATGACTTTATTTTAATTCTGGGTGATATCCCCATCTTATATGGTTAACTTAGATCATAGGTTAACATTAAAAGTGGTAGAACATGTAAATTAAATAGTTTCAAAGTGTTTAGACCACTAGGCCAAGCACATGTAGTAAGTCTGTTTATAAAAAAAACTGCAAAATTTATTAAAAAATATTTTATGTAACTCTTAGGTAAAAAATGATAACTACCTAGTATATTTCCAATACTTTCATTGCCAAATAATTGCGATAGATTATCATCAGACTCATTCCTTTCAATACACTCCTTATTTTAAATTCTTCTGACTTCGGAATGATCTTGCATCTGAAGCATCAATAGACCCAGAAAACCCACTTCTGTGCTAATGACATGATTTGTGACAATTAGTGTGTTAAAATTTTATCTTTGTAAAATACAATCGCCCAGATCTGATATTTTCCAATACTGACCAAACTACGACCGCAAGTAATTTTTGAGTTGCCGGTAGTTCTTTTAACATCGTCGTTTGCACGGTTGCAGAACCAGTGGACGGAGGGATTGACGTCGCGTCTGCGCGTAACCAGCGTCCTACTGTCGGATTCCGGTAATTACTCGTGCGTGCCAACGGTCGCAGCCCCCGCAAGCGTAAACGTTCACATTATTAACGGTAAGTCCTATATCGCTGTAAACAACGCGACGCTGTCTAAACGATTTGGACCTTCGTCAACGTGGTCCTATAGTTCGTTTGTTTCGTATACCCTCCTTCCGTCATCTACTCTAACAAAACAGGATTTCTTAAGTGTATTGCTATATACATATAGCTACTAGAGATATAGAGGCCCTGCAATTGCCAATAATACAGCAATTTATGAAGGACCTATGAAAAAAATTTGGAAAAATCTCGTTTTTAACCAATTTAGATTTAAAATTTTCAATACTTAGCATTATATTAAAAAGCTGCATTATAAGAAAACGAACGCTGGAATATAGCACATATAGCATCGAAAATTTATTCCAAGCAAGTTCGGCTCAACAGAAGCTCATTTGAACATTATGAACATTATGACGAAACCCCAATTTTTTAGTGTGCTTAATAAACTAGTAACTTAGAAAAGTTTACCAAACGTGTTGCATACTATACTTTTTCTACGACCGTTAGTTTTTGGGTACATTTTTGCAAAGCAACACGAGTACCATCACTGAGGTGACCGTCAAAATTGACAAATGTCAAAATTCAAGGCATGGGAAATCTCTCTGAAAATGTCGGAAGTGGCTCGAATCCGTAGGAAACGAAACTGACGTGGTGAAATGACACTTTCCACATATTAAGTCGGTGTATAATTGGGCATTTTAGAGAAGGGAGTAGAAAATTATTATATTATGCAACAAGTTAGTTTTTGGGTACATTTTTGCTTCACTGATATGACCGCCAGAATTGAAAAACATCAAAATACAAGCGGTGCGGCAATATCCCGAAAATGTCCGAAGTGGCTCGCATCCATGGAAAACGAAACTCATGTAGTAAATAGTTAGGTATTTTACAGAAGGGAGTAGAAAATAATACATTATGTAACAAGTTTGCTAAACGACAATTGAGTCACGAGCGGTGCGCAGCGGAGTGACTTAAAAAGTTTACGAAACGTGTTGCATACTATACTTTTTCTACGATCGTTTAATAAAACAACAAGAATACTTTCACTGGCATGACCCTCAGAATTGACAAAAATCAAAATTCAAGCCGTGCGGTAATATCTCCGAAAATATCCCAAGTGGCTCGGATTATGTATTTCACAGAAGTTAGTCAAGGTGGCGAACCACTCCAAACTTTTCGGGAACTTTAATCACTAATCACCAACACTAATGTGACTCTCTAGCAATATACAGAAAATACATAGTGTTATAGATATGGAGTTGGTTATACATTTTAAGTTCGTTTCAGCAGCACAGCCCTGAACTAATTTTGAATTGTATTGGGTATTACCATTAGCAAATTAATGTTCCAACAAAATTTATTTCGAGTTTCGAAACGGTTGCGAAGTTTGCTCCTCCAACAGTATTATACAGTTCTATAACTGTGACAATAATTCAAATTTAAAATATTTTTCAAATTTGTCATTAAGTGATTATGACTAAATAATTTTCGTTAAATATTTGTAAAACATAATTATCATTTTTTAATTTTAACTTCTCAAAAACTAATAAGGTTATAGAAATTTATATACTCAGGAATTCAAAATATTTCAATATTTTTTACATTTGTACATTTAAACAAATTTTGGTATTCCTTGAAATAGGAAAAAAAACAACCAAATCAAGAGGTGAAGATTACTAAGACACTAATTTTTATTTCTAAACAATATGTGCTATCATATATAAATATAAAATATTTATATAAAATCAAATTAACTCTTTTCGTTATTACATAAAAATGCTATATAATTATATTTATATAACAACTCCTCAAGTTTAACTTCATTCATACATACGAAATCGATTACTACAACCACATACAACACAAAAATTTATAATTAAAAAAATGTTGACCAATTATCACCAGGATGAAATTATGATTATATGTTTTACGTAGTAATGTAAAATGATTTCACAATGTACCCTTTAGCAAACGATTTACCATCATAAACAGTTAAAAAAATGAATAAATAATATAAAACAATCGCCTTTACACTTATTAGTGTTAATGTGTATGACAAAGACAAGGATGCCCGTTATTTACTACCTGTCTCCGTATAAACAAAATTTGCTTAATCGTTAATTTGCGGATTAATTTGGAACTAGTTGACAACCGACGCATGCTCTATCCTAAACCCAAGTTCAAAAACCGTTAGGGATTCTTCCATTTTGCACTTCCGATGGGCATCATAGATGAAAGATCGGTTAGTTATCCAGTCCTTAGGCTTTCCGCGTTACGTCTTAAGCAGACTCGATTGCTTTTCGAGTTGGGATTTAATTAAAATGCGTTCCGGATTAATAATGCCGTGGCAATTTTTCAGGCGAACATCCTGCAGCGATGCAACACGGCAACAAGAACACGGCCTCGTTAACGCTGTCGCTCCACTGCTACGCCGTTGTATATAGCATTTCGGTACTCGTAATTAAGAACACCAGATGATTCTCCCCGTTCCCGGTGTCACATTAATCTGAAAACGTCGTCCGATATCCCCGGGACGAACGGATTCGTATCCCCCGCACACCACGTGTCACGTGGACGAACTAACTAGTGGTCGACGGCTGTGACGTCACGCGCGAAATATTGAAAGCCCCGCCGGGCGTTGATTAATTTGGTACGGACGGGGAGGGCAATATTTGACGGGATTGCGACACAAAGAAAGTCCTCTGGAAATTTTTAAGGCGATTTTTTCTTATTGTCGCCGACGTTTTGTCCCGAAGCTTATTTTGTGCTCCCCTCCTCCTCTATGAGCGAGATAAAATTTCAAACGTACCAATTTTTTAATTTGGGACCGAACCTTTTTGAACTTGCTTTTTTAACCTTCGATTTGGTAGCCCGTCACGTCTGCAAGCGGGAAGAGGCGAAAGTAATGGTCTTTTAACTCGGGGTTCGGCGTTTCCATTAAGGTTTTTTTGCATTTTCGCGTTTTGAATGCGCGATTCTTCTTCTTTTATTAAACAAAACCCACTACCAAATAATTTACTTACTATTTTTTAATAAATTGGAAAAATCCAGTGTTTTTGTTTAATGTCGAAGCTTTGTTGTTTAAGCTATTCAGTTTCATTAAGGAGTTGTTAGAGTAAAATAAACTATTTTAAGATCTGTGTCGGTTTTAATCCAGTTGCAATACTTAGGACCAACTTAAATTCTTAAATAAATTTCAAAACAAGTTCCAAATTTTTCCAGGTTATGTGCCATTTGCCTTATTTTGCCCTCTAATTTATTTCACCTACTGATCAGTGCAAAAAATTAACACGCGAATGTTCTCGATGCGAGCCTATACATTTATTAATGGTCGACCACGTAATTCGTTCGTAGCACTGTGTGCGTGTTTAAAGTCCAGTCAATATATGAAATAATGTCATTCACCTTTTTGTACTTTATTAGGTTTAGAGAAAGCTGTCGAGCTATTATCGTTTTTGTGTCTGTAGCAAAATCTCCACGACTTCAATATATTGACTGAACTGCTCAGCTCCAGGGGAAGTAAAACGCGGTTTCACAGCAATGCCAAAAATTTCGGTTAGTCTAGGAACGTGGCCTGACGTAAATCTGCACAGCCGACCACGTTTGCTACCCCGGCGACAACCACGGGAAATCCTCTCACTGTAAATGCATGAAAAATGCTCGAAAATGTTTAATGAAATGTTAGATAAACAATTTGTAAATAGCTATAAGTATCTACCAATTTATGAAATTTCGTTGTCAACAACCTGTAAATATTGTATTACCCTTTGTTATTCATCATCTTGTCGTTTTACCGAATAAAATGACCCTCAACTCCCGCTGTAGTTTTCTTATTTCCAGAATACGTGAAAATATGAAATCCTAACCTCACTCAAGTTATCCAACAAAACCAAACGCCTAGTCTTTTAATTTTGTATCCTCTAAAATTTAACTGGTAGATTTAATCACAGCCACATCCAATAGAAGAAATATTTTTAATGCAAGTTTTTAAATAGATATCAACCATTTTCGTCACAAAGTGAGTGCAGCGCATCAATCTGGGCTAGTGTCTCTAGAAAAAGTTGCACCACCGTACTGTCAGAAGTAGGCCGAATGATCCTGGTTATCTTGGCTATGGAAGAAAAGCCAAAGAAGAAGAGATAGTTGATAGCCTAAGGAGGTGCAATTAGAATTTACAATTTAAAAGGAATGAATTCGATTAAAAAGGTACATTATTTGAGTTTGCGTTTTAAAAAATGTTCCCGATTTGACCTGAAAAGTGAGTATTCGCACGCCAAGTTTGTCCATTATGCAGTAGGATTTATTTTAAGGATATTTAAACACCAGTTGTGAACAAAACCAGAGAAGGCAATGCGATCTCTTTACGCAGGAACAAAACCGGCAGAAGGAAGCGGTGGGGCGTATAGAGAAAATAGAAGTGTCTTATGAGGGTCAGCCAGAGAATAGCATTCTGATTATGAATAAGAACGTTTCCACGCCCCATGATTGTGCTAAGCGTTAGTTCCTCAACCCCCTGTAATTTGAGCTTGTTTGAATCACTCGATTTTTAGATATTGGAGACAAAATCGTTGAAAGGTCAGTTGTCGCTTTGGTTGATAAAAAAACTTTGTGGCACATGCATAAACCTATACCAGAGTCATGTACTTTAGAGCTTCTGCATTACCACATGCCAAATCCAAGTGCTGTCAACAAAATCTTTTGGAGAACATGCAGTTTTCTTTTGGGGGCTGTAGCAAGCGACTCATTCAAATCTGGTATCGAATTTCATTTGCACAGCTTCCCCAGTCCAAGTGGTGAGACTTTGGTGTTGACTTAAATTGGCTGCAACGTGTTTGTTTGCAGTTAGATCCGGTAGTTTCATATACGACATTCAGTTGGGGCTCACTGATTGGAAACCATCACAATCAGAACTAAAAGTGCTTTCAATAGATTTCATCAAGTTTTGCCAGAACAACTACCCAATTGAATATTTGGATGTCTCCAAAGAGTTCGCTTTAGAAATGTTCCAAATTAATCCCCACAAATCTCAACAGATTCCCAACATTGCGGCTCATAATGGAGATAAAGTTACACTCTTCAGAGCAGGTCCTCACATTGACATTTCTCGAGGCCCTATGTTGCCCAATACTGGGCATCTTGGTCGAATTACTGTCACAAATGTGATTAAATTGGATACAGATATTCCAGGAAGCCCCATTTATAGATTTCAGGGTGTAGCTTTACCGAAAGCTATTATTTTAAACCATTTTGCCTATGGGTTGATTGAAAATCGAGGCAGGACTCTAGTAAGTTGCATTCAGACTCACAAAATCGTTGAAACTATCAATTTCCATTTTAGAATTCTGGAAGGATACCCAGCTCACAAGATGTGTTGACAGAAGAAAATAGTTTTGTAGCACATGTAGCTCAATAAAATTATTGAAACTTTGTGTTGGATTTAAAATTATACCAAACCTGTTTGATTGAATTTGTCAAAAGCTCACACCCATTTCTTACCTGTTATAACCCTTACAAAGATTTGCCTTTATTCATCTAAATGGGGGAAAATTGAAATTATACATTTTTTAAATATTTGTGATGGAATAATACAAATATTTTGCTCCGTGTGGCTGGTTCACTAGGGACATTCGCCCATTACTGGGACATTGGCAAATGTAAAAGATATAAATTATACAAATGTCAGATCAAATACATCTGTCATATCCGCCCCCACTGTTTTGAGAGGCGAATGTTAGGTTAGAAACCAGAAAATAAATTGATTCGTTTGTTATTTGGTACCGCAAAGGAAAGTAATTCGCTTACACAGAATTTATTTCGAGTTGGCGCTCACCGAAAAAAGCAAGCGAATAAATTTTGTAGGGCGGGCTTCGTTTAAAATGTAGCAAAAAAAAAATAAAAGGCTTTGTTTTCGAAACCGTCGTTCAATATGATGCCAATAGTTAATAATCACGATATTGCCTGCTTTTTCGTCACAAAGCATCACATATGGAAAGGAAAGTAAGTAAAGACGAGTGCGAATTTTCTGCTGACGAAGCAATTTGCGTGTTTATTGTCTGATTGTAGATATAAGAGAATATTTTCTATCGGCTCCAAGGGTGTGACAACCTACAATCCTACAAGTTTAGAGGTGACTAACAGGTGGTCTTACAACGATTTTGTATCGATTCAACCCCTCAAAGGCACACCAAATGAGTTCCAGATAAGTGTCAAGAAAGAGAAAAAGATCCTAAAAATGACATTTTCAACGGAGCACCGCTCTCACCTCATAACCGAAGCTCTCAGGTTTAGACAGAATTTTATGGAAAAACCCAAGGATGTATATGTAAAGTAGCAACCATCTGCTGTCAGGAATGAAATAAATTTAACTGTTATTGTAGAGGTACCAAGCTTATAAACACCATTGGTCGGACATAAGACTGCCAGTTCTCTTAGAAGTCACTCCATATTCGTTAGATCAATTGGATCCTACCACCAGTTCTGTGCTTGCCAGTTATCATTTTAAGGATTTTGAAGGAATATGCACCATCTCTGACTATCCAGGTATGTTGTACGATACCTTGTTGAAAGTGTACATTTGAACTACTCTTTCATCAGTTGGTTATTCATCTAGCTTGATAATATTTCAGGTGGATTTGTGATTGTGTGTGGCGGATTTGGCCGGTTACACTTGTTCCAAGCGGCCGATTTTGAACAAATCAAAATTAAAATTATGGAATTTGCTGCATCATTCTTGGCGGTAAATATCAAAGTCCTAGGTCAGCCAATCAATTTAGAGGACTTTCAGAGACAAAGGTTTGGTAAATACAGGTAAATAACTCCATCCTGGGTGATCTCCTTAAGTAATGGAATGACGTTGCAGCGACGACAATTACCTGACATCAGTTTCTGAATTTTCTGTGTACAAAATCCAAAAACCGAGGCACTCTGAGCCAGTCAGACGCATACTGTGCTTGTCGGAAGTGTGCCTGCTCGAGCGTGATCCTCAAACTTACAGTATTTGTACTTTGCAACCTCTATGTGATATTTTCGCTTTAATTCGTGATAACAAAAACCCGCAGTTGTTCAGTGTGGCATATGTCAATGGGCAAATTAGAACTTACACCACTACCGATAGGTGAGGTGCTACAGTCTGCCGTTGGGATTAAGTACTCCTTTGAATTGTAATTTTCGCTACCATTAGGGATGCATTATTAGCATCACTTCTTGATGGTGTTAGAGCCTCGGGCAACAAAGATATTCACGTAACAATGATCCAAACGCAGAGGGGTCTTAGATTGGGGCCGTTGCATTTGCCCGTTGAAGAGGAAGCGGAAAGTTTACACTTGAAGTTCCTGCAGAATCCGCCCGTCACAGAGAACTTCTTCAGATGTGTGCAGAGGTTCAACGCTAATGCTCCTTACAGCGGGCTGTTGTACAGTGTGAGCCAAGAGGTGAGTATTGTAATTGTATAATGGTTTTACAAAAAGCCTAAAGCCTAAAGGTCTGTCTTATCAAAATAAAGAAGAAAAATGTAAACTTTTCAGGATGCTTGAAAAAGCGAAATTGTTATAAAAAATGTGTATATTTTTCTATATATTCCTACAAACTCTTCTCGCCCTTCATTTTATTTCTCTTGTTTGTCTGTATGATATAACCAGTGTGTGGCAAAGGTATCATTTTACTTCACTCTGGCAGAGATGATTGTACAATGATGGAACAAATGCTGCTTACTTTTTTTTGAAAGGGTATTTATTGATATTAATAGGTATTAATAAATACCATGTTTCTTTTTTTATTTTATTATTTTATTTTATTGATTTATCAACAGGCCAACCGCCCAATATAAAATAGGATTCACATAATCAAAATAGTAAACAACAAAATAAAATAAAATAAGACAAAATTAAAATTAAAACATAATGAAATAGACAGATGAAGACCTTCCCCTAACATGACAAACATTGGTGGACACGACAGTAAGGCCACTTATAAGAGTAGCGAGGCACCAACACAATGGTATACAATACTATTGAAAGGAAAAGCGGAATAGTTTTACCGACGGTCTTTAAGTTCTTTCTTAGATATTGTTGCACTCTCGAAGCAGTCAAGTTGGTCAGAAAAGCGATTCGCTAGTGCAACTGACCTAGTAAGAAAAGAACTCTGCCCATAGTTAGTGCGATGGAACTCCACCTGTAAGCAGTTGTTTATTCTAGTATGGCGGGGGGCACGCGAATCCCAATCTTACATAACAGCTCAGGTCCATGGGAATTTGAATGCAGTAGATTGTAAAAAATGGCGAGATCCCTCTGCATGCGACGATTCTGAAGAGTTGTTAGTTGGCGCGAATTTTCCAATTCAGAGTAATCAATGTCCTCAAGTCCTTGGTGCTCCTTAAATGCTATATACCGCATATATGTTGACGTTATACGAAGGTGACCACACACAGGATTAATAATCCAGGTGTGGACGCACTAGGGATCAGAACAGTAATCTGAGAGACGGGATACTCTGGAAGTCCACTGTACAACGCTTAATAAAGCCCAAAATCTGAAGTCATTTAGACACCATAAATGAAACATGTTGTGTAAGTCAACTTAATATCGAGTAACACTCGCAAAATCCCTTATTACGGAGGGCTGCAATAATCGTGACCCTTTTATGTTATATGTAAAATGTATGGAGTTTCTGCTCCGGTAGAAGTTCATTTGTTGGCATTTATTAATATTTAGTTCCATTTGGAACTAAATATTAATAAATCGGACTGGAGTTTAATACAGTCATCGGCATTATGGACTCTCATAGAATTTTAAGTCGTCACCAAATAATAGGACACATGAGTGATGAAAACATGAGGCAATATCATTCACATAGACATTGAAGAGCAGGGGTCCCAGGTACGATCCTTGTGGAATACCAGAAACTACTCTAATTTCGGTGGATTACAAGCTCTGGACGCGCACTATCTGCACTCTTTCAGTAAGGTACAATGTTAACCATTCTACAAGTTTTTCCTGGATTCCAATTTTCGCAATTTTTTAATTAAGATTTGACGATTTACTCGATCAAAAGTAAATGGCATGAACGTGAGACCCCACCTCCAATGATTCCAGCAGAAAATCTGTGAACATGAGCAACTTTAGCTCGGTGGAGCGATGGGAGAGAAATCCAAATTGTTGGTCGATGAAGCAACCTTTAAGGCCAGCAGATAAATAGTCGCAAACTAAACTTTCGAACACTTTAGGAATGCAACTCAGGATATTGATGGGCCTATAATTGTTCTCTTGCGAGTTATCGCCGGATTTTAAGATAGGTGTAATGAAGCTTGATTTCCAGTAATTTGGCAAAGTTCCCGTTTTTAAAGAATGGTTAAAGATTATATAAAGTGTTCTGGAAAGTATGAAGCTGCATTGCTTAATAAAATATGGTGGGAGGCCATCAGGACCGGATCCTTTGTTTTTGTCTAGAGTCGACAGTTTCTCGTAAATACATGAAATCGAAATGTTTGACATGAAAAGGTTGACATCTCCAGAAGGTAGTACATCTTCAGAGACACATTGACAATATCGTCACCCACAGAACAGGTCACGTCGCCAAAGTGCACAACCGATGGAATAAAGTTTCATTCCTTTTTTCTGTTGACGAACCTCCAAAAATTCTTAACGTTCTCTCTTAAGGACGATTCAGTCAGAGATATATATTCCTGGTAACACTGCACTTTTAAAAATTTGCATTTAGCTCTAAAGTCTGAAAATCGCTTATAGTCTGCATATAACCCGATCCCAAGATATTGTTTGTGTGATTTCTTCTTCTCAATTATTGTATCTTTAAGCTCTGAGGAAAACCAGACTGGAAACTTCTTAGCCGAAAACTTCTTTAAGGGAACGTAAACATCGATGGCTAATTTTTAAAAAAAGCTCAAAAAATCTAAGGATCTACAGAAACTAAATTATCTTAACTTTGGTTCACAAATTGGTAATTATTGTGGATTTCAATCTCACCCAAAATTAATGTAAAACAAAAAAAAAGCCCGCAAAATTCAACTATTCACGGGCGGGTCTCTCTCTCCCCAATCCTTGCTCGATTCCGAGCGTCGTGACTTATTCATGGTGTAAGCCTTCTCCACGTCTCTCTATCCTTTACGGTCCTCATAACTTCCGCTGCTGACATGTTTGTAAGGTCCTTGATCTGGTCTATAAATCTAACTGTTGATCTTCTCGTTCTTTTGCGTCCCCTTTCCCTTGGATCACAATCTTCTCTATACCATCCTACCATATCACTTGACCAAAGTATTTTAGTATACCCTTCTGGATTATTGGCAACAGTCTTTCATGATCCCGAATATTTAGTTGACTGCGTATGGAAATGTTTGTTCTGTGCACCGCCCAAGGGATCTTTAACGTCCTGCGGTAGCATATCATTTCAAACGCTTCTATTCTCCTGCGGCATGCTAATATCCAAAATTCCGATCCATAAGTTGCGATGGAGAATATTAGCGCTTTGAAAAGTCTCATCTTGGTCATTTTCTGAATGTTGTGGTCTTTCCAGATTTTAGTCAGTCTACCCAAAGGTTCTTTTGCCATCTCAATTTTTCTCTTGATTTCTTTCTCGGAGCCTCCTTTGCTAGTTATTTTTGCCCCAAGATAGATGACAGTGGTTTCTATATCATGAATGCGTTGAAGTGGTATTGGGATTGTCTGAGGTCTGATTTCGTGTATCGTGTCATCGGCATATCGTAAGTTTGACACTATCTTCCCGCCAATAGGGACTCCGCCACCCCAGTTTTCTAGAGCCCTTCTAATGATCCATTCTCCATAGATATTAAAGAGAAGTGAAGAGCCTTTTCCCACGTTGAATCCTGTTACCCTTCTACTTGTATGTGTGTTCTGTTCTTGTCATAGAGGACTTTTATGAAATATACGAGATCTTTCGGTACCCCCATCTCGCTCAAAATGTTTCACAGTCGTCTCTACTGTGCTGTGTCAAATGCATTGGTGAAGTGGAGGAAGCAGAACATTGAATTCGTATACTTTTTCTATTATTTGTCGTACGCTCACGCCACGCGTTCCACGACCTGGCGCAAACCCTGTTTGTTCTGGGGGGATCTGCGGTAGAAGGTAATTCTTCAATCGTCCCTGTATGATTTGAAAGAGAACTTTACTGGTGGTCGGGTAGTCTTTTTTTTTATTGGATTGAAAAATTTGCAGGGTATTTTCTCTGAAAACAAGGAGAAACTGATCATGGCGGCGCTACAGTCGCTCGTCGCGAAAGAGGGCGATCAGAAAACCATATCAGCAGAGGAGCTTGAGGCACAGTTCCAAGCGTTGAGGCGGCTCCTGGCCAGCAAAGTCGGTTACGCCTCCTTCACCAAATTGGCGGGGTAAGACCGCGCTCCCGTCCACCAAAGAAAGCTCCGCCTCTCAACGTTGTCTACGCAGGTTTCGCGAAGCGATCGGCATGAAGGTGGTGACCGCGTTGAAACGTAACGACTTTGCTGTCACACACGCCGCCGTAGACATGATCGGAGCCCTGATGCATCCGATGCATGATGACTACGACCTGAGACAGGAGCAACTGAACAAGTCATCTCTGCTGCAAACGAAATCGTTCTTGGAGAGTTTGCTCGGCATGTGGGCGACGCATATAGTGAGTCACACCTTCGGAAGGCTTCACCGCTCTTTGTTTACTGCGAGATCTACAAATCGAAATACAAATGTCGTGATTTATCCCTCGTGCTTCTTTGAATAGATAGCAAACTCGGTAGTAGTGGTTATTCATGACTTAGACACCCCCCTCCCCATACCTTAATGATATATCTGAATTTGCAGTTGATTTTTAGGTTTGGAGTGGAAGTCTAGGTTTGTTTAGGCTACGGTTTCGTCCTTTCCCAACATGTTTTTCAGGTCCAAGGCACCGGCGCCCTGATAGTCACTGCCATGTTGGATTTTTTGACGTTTGCCTTATGCGTGCCGTACAGCGAGACCACTGACGGCAAACATTTCGACAACTTGCTGGAAATGGTCGCTGATCGGGGTAGGATCCTGTTCAAGTTATTTCAGGTATGATCAAGGGGGATAAGCAGATTGTGTATAATAAAACCGTTTGCACATAACTTTGAACCTACACCCTCTTGCCGTTATGTTACCAACTTGAATATAGTTTATTATCTTCTGCGATACTGACGTATTTTTTTAATTATGTTAGCATCCTTCGATGGCTGTAGTGAAGGGAGCGGGATTAGTCATGCGCGCCCTCATTGAGGAGGGCGACTCGGAAGTGGCGGCTAAAATGCAGAACCTCGCTCTCGCAGAAGGCGCGTTGCCCCGTCACTTGCTCGCTGCCCTCTACACCCAGGGTTCTGACGGCAGAATGCTGACGCATCGGCAACTGTCGAGACATCTGATCGGATTATGGATCAGCGGCAACCCCATCGCCATGGGTCTCCTCAAAAGGATTATGGTAATGTTTAAATGATGTCACGATTCTCGTAAAGCATTGCCTATTTTTCTTTCGCGCAGCCCGTAGGATTGATCGCCTTCCTCGACTCGAGGGACGCTCTTCCTGACTCGGCCAAGGAACGCGAAATGCTTAATCATCGGGACAACCTGAAGATCGCGCAGGACCACGCGTCGAGGATGAAGAAAAATCCGAACTGGGCAGCTATGGAACGTCAACTGAAGAACGTCGAGAAACAGGTAGAGCATTACACAAACCTGGCGCTGCAACACTGGGGTGCGCGAGTTGGGATCAATCTTAAGAGGGAGGAGAAGACGAAGGAGAGACCGGTGGTGTTGAGGAGGCGGAGGGAGAGGATCAAGGCGGAAAGCAACTGGCCTTTGTTTTATTGGAATTTTAGTCAGGATCACGCGTTGCCCAATTTGATATGGAACCACAAGGTGAGTCCGTTCTTCGCTCATTGGTCGCTCGAAGCCGCCTGTAGATTGCCTTAATATTCGGGCCGGCAAATCGATCATATTTTCGTATTCTCGTGGGAAGTTAGGTCAGAGGTTTTTTTGATATTTCGAATTTGGTCGCCGAATTCGCTTGTTTGCTGATGATGATTTTGCGATCTTTTTGTTTCTAAATATCAATTAAACAGTTACTTAAAATTGTTGTGCGCTGTTTAGTGCGTGGAATAAGTTGTTACGAAAATCCTAACTTCAGTTTTCATAGGTAAGGTACACATATCAAGTGCTGCTCGACCGCTTCCGACTTAAAACTTGTCTACTGTCCAATTAATACTTTTTTTTTCCTTTTTATTTTGCTTATTTCCGTAGTTCTTTGCAGCACCTCCATTCTATTGAAGTGACTAACTATAAAAATGTATGTAACTATATAAATGTTTTTTTTATAAACTCTCTTTCACAGTGATACAATGAAGTTAATGTAGATTAATTCATAAAATCTCTTCACTCAGGGCGGTTAGGTGGGTAGCTTTGCTAGATCTCACCACCCTCCTATCTTATACTGTTTCTTATTGTTTATAGATATATAAATATAGACCTGTTGTCATTATTATTATTATTATTGTCAAAACATGATGACATCGCACAACCTTGATATTTGATGGAGAATTGGTTCTTTCGCCACAAACATAAGATCGAAACCATTGATAAATGTTTGTTTATATTGATTTACGTCGGTTTATACACATTTTATGAATGAATTGTCGTGTCTCATTTTTATATAATGTCTTTGGTTTGTACTTTAAAAATTTGTCTCTGGTGAGTGAATTGGACTTAATTCGCGGGTCAAAATGGCGGAATTACGGCCACTATTTCTCCTGCCAACTGTCATGCCAATAGACACTGGTTTTTATTGAACATTTGAACTACCGCTCGATATTTTGCCACTAGACCCGGGAAGAGCTGCGCTGTGCATTAGAAAATGAGATCCGCATGTTTGCCAACGACAGAGACCTCGCGGGTAACGCCCTCGTTGCGTGGAACCACCAGGAGTTTGAGCTGGACTACCAGTGCCTGGCCGACGAAGTGAAAATAGGGGATTACTACTTGCGTCTTCTGCTAGAAATGGACGAGAATAACGACGACTCGCCCATCAGAAGATCGTATGAGTTCTTCAACGACCTCTACCACCGATTTCTCCTGACCAATAAGGTCGAAATGAAGTGTATGTGCCTGCAAGCGATGTCTATCGTATACGGTCGGTACTACGAAGACATCGGGCCCTTTAGCGACACAAAATACATCGTGGTGATGCTTGAACGGGTAATATTACACTCTGCGACACGTTCATCTCAATTACCCTCCACCTGTTACTCAGTGTACAGACAAAATGGAGAGAGACCGTCTAATTACGTTCATCAACAAATTGATATTGCACCGACGCAACGTCAGAGATCTGATGGATATGGGCGGGGTCAAGATACTCGTCGACCTGGTCACTTTGGCTCATCTGCACACCTCCCGAGCCATGGTACCGACTCAGACGAATGTCATAGAGGCGGGGCCAGGCATGAGCGTCGAGCAGAAACGCGAGTGGCACTATAATACAGAAGAGGGCAGCAAAGGGCCAGTTACTTTTGATGAGGTACATGTGTGATCTTTTTAAAAAAATTACGCTGATGAACAAGCACAACAAGATATGTTTTAAATCCGTTAACATTTGAACTACTTCTTTTAAGGTTGCTTTGTTTTTTTTTTTATCTTAGATTGAACCATTTTTCTAATTAAATGATTGTTTAGATAATTATCCCGAGACGTACAAAGTATTCACTAAGGGAATGAATATGCTCAAACTCCCGGCGCTGTGAAACAATGTATATTTCTTAGTAAAGTCCCTGGGCAGAAATTTATCCAGCATCTAAACTATTGCGAGATTGCCCCATTATTCGCGTTATTTCTTTTGATCGTATATCCTTCAACCCAGTTTGTACATTCAAACTTAAAATTGTGGCAACGCGTCTTACAATCAGTCGAGTCTCTTAGGTCAAGGAGCTGTTTCAAAAAGGCGTCATCAATCACAAAACCCGCTGCTGGGCAATGGGCTTGGACGGTTGGCGCGCTTTCTCTCAGTTACCTCAACTCAAATGGTGCCTGCTGGCCAAAGGCACCCCCGTATTAAACGAAAGCGAACTCGCTACTTACATACTGAACACGCTGATCAGGATATGCGAGTATTTCCCTAGCCGAGACTCTGACGACGCGGTCATCAGACCCTTGCCGAAGATCAAGAGGCTGCTGTCAGAACAGACGACCCTATCGCACGTGGTGCAGTTGCTGCTGACGTTCGATCCGATCTTGGTCGAGAAGGTAGCTACCCTGCTACATGACGTGATGAAAGACAACCCTGAAATGCCCAAAGTATACCTCACCGGCGTGTTTTACTTTATCCTGATGTACACCGGCAGCAACGTGTTGCCCATAGCCAAATTTCTGAAGTTGACACACATCAAGCAAGCGTTCAAAGCGGACGAAGTAAGCTATCTACTCTCTTGCTCCATGTCAACGACGGTAATGCTTATAACGTGTTGTAGAACACCACGTCAGACATAATGCAGAAGAGCATACTGGGCAAACTGTTGCCCGAGGCTATGGTTAACTATTTGGAGAACCACGGCGCAGAAAAGTTCGCGCAGATATTTTTAGGCGAGTTCGACACTCCCGAAGCCATATGGAACGCTCAGATGAGGTAAGCATTTAACTATTAATCTGAAGCTTTGCACTACTGGTGCCAGAAATACACCCGCCTTGAATTGATATCAACCATTTTCGGCAGGCGTCTGTTAATCGAAAAGATCGCCGCTCACATAGCGGACTTTACGCCCCGCCTCAGAAGCCATAACATGGCCAGGTACCTATACATAGCCATACCTACGGTGCGATACCCTCAGCTGGAACGCGAGCTCTTCTGTAACATATTTTACTTGCGCCACCTGTGCGACACCATTAAGTTTCCGGACTGGCCAATACCCGACCCGGTAAGCTGTACGTGCAGACAGCCTATGGGAGATTATTTATTTGTTTTGTTTCAGATCGGACTACTGAAAGACGTCTTGGATGCGTGGCGAACAGAAGTTGAGAAGAAACCGCCCCTCATGACCATCGAGGAGGCGTACGCGAAGTTGGGTCTGGATGGTATCAATCACGACGAAGCGAAGATCCGAAAGTCGTACTACAAGCTCGCCCAGCAGTACCATCCGGATAAAAATCCAGACGGCAGGGTAGGCGTCTGTCGTTTAATACGCACCTGCTTAACTATGGTTTTAGGAAAGGTTCGAGGAGGTGAACCAGGCCTACGAGTTCCTCTGCAGCCGTATCATCTGGAACACTGACGGTCCAAACCCCAATAATATAGTCCTGATCCTCCGCACTCAGAGCATCTTGTTTTGCAGGTATTCTGAAGGTAAACTGGGTTTGATTAGGCTTTCGGTTACATTAAGGTAACACTGTTTCTCACTATTGCCAGTGTTGCACCCGTACAAGTATGCCGGGTATCCCCAGCTAATCAAAACCATTGGGATAGAGACCGCCGATGAGCAACTCTTCTCGAAAACTGACCCTTTGCTCTCTGCTGCCACTGAACTCGCTTACAGGACGGTTCAGTGCTCGTCTCTCAACGCCGAGGAGCTCCGGAGGGAAAATGGACTGGAAGTATGTGTGTTTAAATCACTTGTGTGTAAGAAATTGGCACCCAGTAGAAATGCCTATTGTTACATTGGATCTACCAAAGTAATTCTATTCTCAGACCTTGCTGGAAGCTTACTCCAGGTGCGTGAACGTTCTGAGCAACTCCTCAAAGCCAAATGACACTGCTGTCCAGGTGTGCCTGAACATTACCCAGTGCTTCAGTGTTGCCGCCCAGTTCCAAGCCTGCAGGGAATGTATGATAAATCTGACGCAGCTGGTCAAGGACCTCTGCCGTATATTGTACTTCAAGGTAAGGAGTCCAACTGGGTTATAGCATAGCCCACGTAGAGATCGTTTTAGCACTTGACGAAACTGTGTTCCGCGGCCACGGAATGCGTCCAAGCGCTGGCCGTTGATCCGATCTTGCAGCTCGAACTGCTCAAGGCCGGAGCTCTTTGGCACCTTTTACTATTCGTCTTCAAGTACGACTACACCCTGGACGAGGGCGGAGTCGAGAAAAGCGAGGACTCAAACGAGCAGGAGCTGAGCAACCGGCTGGCCAAAGAGTCGGTCAAGGCATGCGCGGCGCTCGCTCGCTTTAAGGGCGACCCTCAGACCGGTACCCGCGAGAATTTAATCATGGGCATTCTCGAAGGTTTGATTACTCCTTATGTGGCCCGACAATTAATGAGCGATCAACCGGAAGAGGTAACTCGTCGTCAAATGTTAAGGTGAGACTCATGATGCGTTGCAGGTATTGAAGACGCTGAACAGCAATAGCGAGACGCCATATTTGATTTGGGACAACGGGACACGTGCCGAGCTCGTCGATTTCCTGGAAAGCCAGCTCGCGGTGAGAGACGACTTCGATTTGAACATTGGCAGCGATTTTAAGTATTCCGCACACAAAGAGGAACTGAAGATAGGCGGAATATTCATACGTATCTATAACGAGCAGCCCATGTTCCAGATCAAGGTAAAGTGATCATTTCTCTTTCCGCTCGTATGGCGTTTAAATTTATCTTCATTCTATTTTTATTGACCAATTACAAGGCAGCAGGGTCCCTAAGAGTTTATAATTTCAATTCTGCAACTTGAGACCTTCACTAGTTATTCTGAATCAGAGGTTCATATTTATTTTACTTCTTTTATTTTTATTAGCTTTCTTGAAAATTAACTGAAAATTGACCAGCGCTCAGGATAATTTACCATGTTGTCCTCCTAATTTTGCGCTCCCATTTTGCTACTGCAGTATTGTGCAGTGGCTGCTTCATTGCGTTCTTTATAACATTGAAAACGTGCTTTTATGGGTCCTTATCGCGCCTTACAGGAACCGAAAAACCTGGTAGTTGACATTCTCGCTTACCTGAACGATCAGTCGTCTTACCTTTTCAACCTGGTCAACATTGCGTATTCGGTGACGATCGAAAAACGACTCGAACATTCGACTATGGCCCTCGCGGCATTGACCAACGTCGTCAGAAATAACACGGGGGTGGAGATGCAGTGCATCGGTCACTTCAGATTAGTGTTCTCCCTGCTTAACGTCAGCCACGCCCCCATCGCGTTTGGCGCGCTGAACCTAATTGGCGTCGTCGCTAGAAACAACGAGTGCATAAACGACATAGCGGCAAGCGGAGTCCTAGGCCATCTTTTGCTGGTGCTCTTTCTCATGCCTGAAGCCCAAGAACAGGTAAGAGGCAGTGGTATTGCTGATAGCGTGATGTTAATTTGACGTCGATGATGATGATTTATGATTTTCAGATGTCGATAAACTAATTAGCCAGATTAATTTACAAAAAAAATAACGCTCCTCAATTGAAAAGCGTTGTCGCCCATTTTTTAATTAGGAATGCGCGACGAAACTCTGGTTAGTTTAGTTAGTATATTTTGCATCAATTATCGGCGTCTGCATGGCGAAAAAATGACGTTTCATTGACGTCGACAATAGATCTTCGTTTGATAATCACCTTTTATCTAATTCTTTATGACACGATCCTAACATCTATGAATGAACTATAGGTGCTGGACATCTTGCGGGCGCTCATGACAAATACGAAAATCGTCAAGGAGTCGTTAAATAAAGGTGCGGTGATATACATGCTCGATCTGTTCTGCAACTCGAACGACGTCCGGGTGCGACAATCGTCCGCCGAGCTCTTGGCCAAAATGAGCCTCGACAAGTTGGTCGGACCGAAGGTGAGACTGGCGATCGAAACTTTTTTGCCGCCGATATTTTCCGACGCCATGCGAGACAGTCCCGAGACTTCGGTGACGATGTTTGAGTCGGAACATGAACATCCCGAACTCATATGGAATCAGGACGCGAAAGACAGGGTGTGTTCAATCGTGGCCACGTTAAAGAGCGAGTAAGTATATGTTTTCGTCTGTGACGTTCGACCGACACCCGCGACTTTTAGACATTACCAAGCGCAGTCCGCGAACCGGTCAGCCATGTGGAAGAAACCGGACACCAACGGTCTAGCGAACGTCGCGATGCCAAACGAAGTCATCGTGGGCGGGGTCTACTTGAGGATATTCGTCGCGAACCCGGCGTGGACGCTGCGCAGACCTAAAGAGTTTCTCTGCGAACTGCTCGACGCCTGCCTAAACCACATGAGCAAGGACAAGGTGGACGTAAGTGTTCAATTAGTGTCGATGCCTCTGTCGGCCTTGCGGGTGTCGCGTAATAAAGTCTTATTCATACGTCACACTGCCCTGTTTCTGTTGGCCCATCAAAAATGAATTAAAATTTTTAGCAATTGCACAATTCTTCTTTAAATGCCAATCCATTCACTGGATGTTAGCGACCACATGTTGGAATCTGTCTTTGTCTCTTGCGGTGTTTATAAGCTCTCCTATAGTCCATTGTCTGATGTTTCTCGCCTATGACAACTGTTTTCTCTACCCATTCCCCTCTTGCCTTCTATCTTCCCTTCGAGTATGAGCTGTATGTTATATTGTTCATTTCGAATTGTATCCCTTTTTTTAATGGCAGTATCTTTTTTCTAAGGCTTCTACTCAATTTATGCTGCTGGCTTTCATGGTCCACGCTTCTATGCCATAGAGCAAGACAGACCACACATAGGATATGGCCTAGCGCAAATGTAGTTGCAGTTGCATATCTCTACAGCTCAATATGTTTCCAAACGTAATAAATGTTGCACATGCTTTCTCTATTCTTGTTCTAATTTCCCTTTCAGGGTTCCAGTCTGCATGCAGCCAACAGCCAAGATATTGATATTTTTCGAACCGTTCTATGAGTTGGTTTTCTATGTTGAGTGTTGTGTTAGCATATATTTGTTTGTCTCGGCTAATGATCATGAATTTAGTTTTCTTGGAATTGATGTTTAGGCCATATCACTTGCCGGTTTCATTCAGTCGGGTCCACATGTCGTGTAGCTCATTCATGTTGTTTGCAAGTAGTACGGAGTCATCCGCGTATCTCAGTTCGATATTGCGATTCCATTAACCTTTATTCCTTGTTTGGAGTTCTCAGACGTTTTATTAAAAATCTCTTCTCAGTAAATATCGCGAAGTCTGTCTCACGTCTCTATGTATATGGATGTCTTCAGTTCTGATGTTTTGCGTTTTTAGATGTGCTCTTTGATACTAATATAAGTTTTTTATACATCTGATATCTTTTTCATCCAAGTCTGTTTCTCATAATATCCTAATGATATCTATGTATAATCTATATATCTATCGATAATATCTATGTTGTACTCTGTTAAAGGCCTTTTCCTTTTCGCAATCAATGCGTGTCCATTGCAGCTTTAAACCCGAAATGATTTGCACTTATATAACGCTCCCATTTCTTATACATTCTGCTATGTAATATTTTTAGGAATATCTTAAGAATGTGATTGACTAGACTTATTAGCCTATAGTCATTACAGTGGCGTGCATTGCTTTTCTTTGGAAGGGGGATGAAGATTGAACTGAGTCAGCTTTCAGGAATTTGTCCTGTGTCATAGATATAATTGAATACTCTTTGTAGAAGTAAAATGCTTTCATCGTCCAATAACTTCCATATTTCCGTTGCTATGCCATCTGGTCCTGGAGCCTTGTTGCTCTTAGCTGTTGTGATTCTTTATTTCCTTAGTAGTTATTGATGGATCAGATAGTGTTGAGTCTGTTGGATAATTTGTTAGTTCTTCTCGTGAATCAATATAAATTAAATAGTCCGCAATTGCTTTTTGACTTCCTCATTCTTTCTCTCAATTTCTCTCTGTACCCACTTGTGGATGTGGCGTAATCAAGTTTTATTCATGCGTCACATTATCCAAAATTGCCCTATTTCTGTTGGCCTGTCATAAATGAATTAAAAATTTGATCAATTGCACAATTTTTAAATGTTAAGCTTCTTCCGTTAGGCCACTCCTTTTTGCTCATGAGACATTCCCTATGTCCCGTTGAGCTACGGTAAGCTGTGTTTGGTTGGAATTATTTTTTCCTATATTTTTCTTTTCGGCAACCGCAAAGCACACTCGAATTTATTTTGCGTTGTGGTTCCGAGCATAGGACGCAACTTATTGGAAGCAAGGTTTGGGCGGTAAGCGTATTTTTATCTTTTTTAGGTTGAACTGTTGGACCTGACAACAAACGCGTTATGCTCCTTACTACAGGCGCAGCCGGCATTACTCGATCTAATCCCGTCGATGGGCCACATACCGCGCCTTTGCAAGCAATTAGGGTCTAGCGCTAAAGATGGGGTCGTACCAAAATCGGCCATACTTATATTCAACAGCCTGACAATAAGCAATGTGAGTCGTTCTTAGATTAACAAATAACGTAAAGAACTGCCCTTAAATGCTCAACTGCCTTAAGGTTGTCATTTGGTTCCGGCGATAACTTACGTTAGACCGTTTTTTTGACAAAAATTTGGCAGGTGTGCATCCATTCCATCTCCCAAACAGACTGCATGTTTCCGCTAAAACGGGCGATGCAGATAAGAGCCGATATGGTTGCGGTGGCTTGCGAAGCGCTTAACCGGATGTTCTCGAGTAACCAAGAGCCCCTAGTTAAACAGGCACTGGACGCGGACTTTGTGCAGTTCCTGCTGGGTCTGCTCGAGGGTCGGCTCGAGCTGCTCGACAATCCATCAGCGACCAAGGCGCAAATAGTAAAGGCCTTAAAGTCTATGGGCAGGAGTCTCCTGTATGGTGACCGGATCAACGCCATATTAGAACGGAGCGGCGTGTGGGCGGAGTATAAGGATCAGAAACATGATCTGTTCATTTCAAACACTAACATATCAGGATATCTTACGGGTAAGTCCGTCGTCACTTGCAGAAAACATTTCAACTAGCACTAGAATGTTTATTTGAACTGAATTTTTACAATTCAGTTTTTAAACGGGACACAGGAAGTACCGATTTTTAACTAGCTTATGGCGGGACTACTCCATCGCCCGTTTTCTTTATTTGTTGCAGCCGGAACGCCTTCAACTGCCGGTTACTTGACGCAAGGGCCCAGCAGCAAAGTACACATGGCGCCGCCGCCGGTAGACAAGGACGATCAACACCGTCCCATCCCCGACGGATTTTAGTCGTCGACAGTTATTGTGATACGGCGCGGACAGAGGGCGCTGTCGCCGGTCTTCGATTTTTCTCTATCGTTTCCTACACTCGTGACAGACCCGAGCATTCCCTCGATCGAGCAGTACGGTTGATTCCGTCGCGTTAAGTTTACTATATATTAGAAATTGTATAAAATTGTAAAGAAAAAGCAACATTGTACTCTAAGCGTCGCCATGATGTTATGCGTGTAGCGAAATATATATATTTTTTATCATTATATACCGCAGTTGCGTTTCTTTTCGCAGGTCGTTTCAGATTTGGTATGGATGTCAAAAACAAAACGTTTTTCGTTAAAAAATTTATTCGAAACCGCCTAGTTTGGTAATTGGGGCGGAGCCAAGCTCTGATAGAGCTTCGACACGGCCGTCTGAACGATCTGCTGGAACGTTTCGTCTGTGGCGCACTTTACGTCCTAAAAGTGAAAAAATAAAGAAACGCGCACACACGTGGATTGATTTGCGGTTTTGGTTACCAAGTTTGATAAATCGATGTCGGCCCTATTGTCGTTCACCGTTACGTAAAGTTTCTCGCCCTTGAAAATTTTCGGCACGCAGTCTTCTCCGAACATGTCTTGCAACATTTCAATCAGACATTCCTTTAAAAAAAAAAAGAAACAATCAACCACCACACGCGAAGCCAGCCTGTTGGAGTGCCTCAGGACTCCCTACTGGTAGTAGTTTTATTTCTTTAAATCATAGCCGCCTATTTTTAGAAATCTGCTGACAATAATCGAGGTTTTGATCGATTGATTACCTTGAAGTGCATCCGGTCAACTTTGACGCTGGTCGACATGTTTTTGGGCGGATTGTCCAACAAGTCCGCCTGCAAAATGGCGGCTACGATCGCGTCCGCGTACATGTCGTTGATCGGGTTAGCGAGCCACTCCAATATCACCATTTTCGGTTCGATGGTGATTTCGACCGCTTGGAACGCTCGCATCTTTTTATCACCTTCCAGAGTCTCCATCAGACCGCACACCTGAGACAAAAGGTGACGTAGCACACCGGGATGGCCGGAATAGTGCAGGCTCTGTCTCTGAGTGATCTCGCTTAGGCTGAGATCCGTATACTCTGAGAAAACAAACACCCGATCATAGTGTCATAGTATAGTAGTGGTAGTATAGGTTTGTTTAGTCGACGGGAAAGGTGAAACGAAACCTACTTGGCAAATCCTCAGTGGATAAAATATGATAGTTGAAGTTGCGTTTGACCAGCACTCCGTCTATGATTTTGCCCGGTTTTGGTTCCTCGACGGCCAACGACCCCATCACTTTAGCGGTCTTCTCTCCTCGAAAGTACAGCTCGACGGTGTGGGTATTTCGAGGGTTGTGCAGCTGGATGTTCATGTTGGGGTCCTCTTCGAACTCACGCTGTAGCGCGGCCTTCAGGCGAGACATTTCATTTTGCTCACCATGCACTAGAACCTAATGGGAGGCGCGCTTCAAACGGACATCGAACATACTCATAGTGTAAGTCTAAAGATTATAACGTCCCGTCCTTTTAAATGGTTTTTTTTTGCAAGTTTTTATAACTTTATAAAATATAAAATTATTCAAAAAAACAGCTCCATCTAAATTCCAAATTGCTTAGATAATAATTGAGCATATCCAGTACAGCTACATGGGACATTTGAACTACCGTTTTTTGAAAACGGAAAATTCATGCGTTTAGAGAGTAAGAATTTCAAAAGACGAGTTTTTGGGTCTGCCTTACGCCGCATTTCAAAACGACTTACCACATGCGGTGGCTTGAGTATTTTGATGAACTCACTGGTCTGTTGATAGTCGGTATGGGCCGAGAACGAGATGTAGTCCACGGACATCTTCAGCGGCAACTTTTGACCCGTCATCGAAGTTATCTCTTCAGGTTCGGACAATATGGTTTTCGCGAGGGTCCCTTCGACGCAGTACCCCGCGATAATCACACCGTTTTTCGAGTCCGAACACCAGGACTCGAACAACTCGCGTGACAGACCGCTTTGAAGCATACCGGGCGAAGCCATGATAACGCACGGGCCAACGTCTTCAAAGTGATCGATGCCCTAATATATATGACCCATTGTTAAACTTTTAAAGACATAAATTTGAGTGTCACCTTTAAATTGGATATATGTTTGAATACGAAAGGATTGTTTATCGCAATCTGCCGTCGAATTTTGTCGTTCATCGCGTTTATGTAGGTCTGGTAGACGGCCATACATTTTTTGGCCAACGATGACGCGTAATAAATGGGAATATCGTGGAGCTCTGGATGCTGACTCCAGTATTCATCTGCAACAAAAACCTAATTGGTATTTTCTATAAAGTATCTCGCAGTAAGAGTTTCAGGAAGTGATTTTTGGGAGATTTGATGGTAAAATTAGTAAAAACGTTCTCAGGATACAAGGTGTCAAACTTTTTTTAAATAACTATTTAAACACAAGCTGGCAACAAAGCCTTTTAACCGACCAAGCAAAACCATATAATAATGAGGTCATATATCTTAATCAACCTTTCACATATTCCCCTTTTATAGATACTATTAAGAACTCTTTTGGCAAAATGTTATTTTGTAAATTCCGTAGTCCTCTTTCATCTTTGTCTTTATTTCCAGCTATTGTATTTATTTGGTTGCAATTTTATTTTTTCTTATATTTGCATATTATTATTGTTCCTGTTACAAATAAAGAACTTTGAATTTGAACATATTAATTTTACTCGCTTCAGAAAAAATGGGATTGCGTAATTTAGACCCCACAAAATTGATATTTATTACTTGAAATGATATACCGAAAAAAAAATCCATACATGCAATTTTTTTATTTTCGTTTTTTATTTAAGAAACTAAAAATGCAAGATTTTTGTGACTTGATTTTTTTCCTTTCAAACGCTTTTACCATTAAATGTTATTTTTAAGCAAAAAATAGTCAAATGAATTTTGAAAATTAATTTTTACCATTAAGCTTTATTTTTATCTGAAAAACTTCGCAAGATGAAAAAATTGATTATTCAAAAAAAAAATTAAATACTCTCTCGCATAAATTTTTTGCAAATTTTTTATGTGACACCCCAGCCTGTTCACATTCACTAACCTAAAATTAGCAACAACTCTTGTGCTCTGCCCAATGCGAAAACTGGAATGAGACATCTACCACCCCTATTGACTATATCATGAACGAGACTCGTAAACCTAGTCTCTCTTTCTTCTCGGTTTTCATGGATATGCGTCCCGTACGTCGATTCCTAGTAAATTGAGAACACTTCATTACTGAACAAAACAAAACACTAGGATACACCAACAAAATTACCGTGATTAACACGTCAGGTCGAACTGTAGGAATTTCAGCAGCCATCAAGTGCCGATCTTCTTGTCTTGAAAAGTCGCCAGTATACAAAACCTGAAATTTTTCATAATTAATCAATTTAGTAATAGCAACTGGTAGGTTTAACCTTGACCCCCGCAATTTCGATCATGAACATAGCGGCACCCAAAACATGACCAGCATTGTAAGCCCAAAATTTGACCCCCATGATTTCTTTTTCTTCATGAAAATTTATAGTCTCAATTTTGTCCATGCTCGCCTCCAAGTCCGCTTCTGTGTATAACATCTGTTCGGTGGCGATGTTGCTAAAAAAGCAATAAAAGTCGCTGCCATCGACAGAAAGTAGGTAGACTAACCTCACTTTAATATAATCAGAGAGTAGCCACTTGTAGATCGCTTTGGTGGCGTGTGTCATAAAACATCGCCCCTTAAAGCTAGTCTTTAGAAGAAACCAAGGCAATGCCCCTACATGGTCCAAATGAAAACTAAAAGGGCATAATTTGTACATTATATTAACAGATTTTAATGAAACTACACACTGAGTAATCAAAAGCAAATCGATTTCATCAGCCTCTATCAAATCTACAAAGGGTAGAGCGTCCATGCCTGTCAATCCAGGGTGAATACCACAATCAAGCTGAAAAATCAAATGAGGGAAAAAGGTTCGAATCTCAGGGAATAATTTCAATTTACCATTATCTTTTTGCCTTTAAACTCTAGCATAATACAGGATCTGCCAACTTCTTGGCCGGCGCCTCTGGAAATTAGAACATTACAACTGAATTAAGATATTGAGAGCACTTACAGGGGTCTTATGACTAACTGGTCGCTTTCTTCTGCTGGAAGAGGTGCATCTGTCCTTTTTCTTACGGACATGATTGTGTTTAGAAAAAAATTAACATTACTAACACATAACCTCAAAAAACGAGAGTCTGTACCACAGACCACAAAAAAAATATAATTACCTCTACTTCGTAGTAGTGTGGAGTCAATCGTCATTTTAGGATGACCGAATCAAATAGTGGCTGATTTCGAAAAGGACCAATCATTTCAATCAATCGTTTATTTCAATACTTTTTGTTGCCAACATAAGCGGCATTAGTCACTGAATCTGAACAGTCCGAACGACCGATTCAGATTCATTTGAATTTAAATTATTTTTATGTCTATATGTTCTGTTTGCTGTTTTAGTTAGTATAATATTTTGCTGTGTTCTGCCTTTTATTATATCATGCTTTTATGTGTTACGTATTGGGATGTCCCAATAATACATTGAGTTTTTTAAATAAATAACTGTGTATAGATATTTCATTCAATATTCAATTCAACACATAAGCAGATATACCCATCGATGTCGCAACCAAATACTTTAGAATAATTATAACAATACTCCCATTTCTTTTTCGTGGCCTGTCTTAGTCATGCATTTAAATCTTAAACCATTCAAATGAATCGTATTCCGCAAGGCGAATTCGACCTTGTTTTGATACGATCGGTCGTCCTGTATTCGGTCACTTCAGACCGGTATGTAGGGCGGCAGCGTGAGCGAAAAAGGCGATCGAATCGTTACGAACAAGCGGGATTCAGTCGTTCGATCCTATAAAGTGATTGATTCAAAGTGACCGAATCAATCGCGATTGGCACAACTGGTACTTCGTAGCTTTTTAATCGATTTTGACGATTTTATTGCATGTATTCAATGCAATGCAAGAAGAACAAGTGGCCCCTAACCTCAATTATTTAAACTTCTGTGCGTTAAATAACACTTTGGTTAAGCAGCTTTATCCGTTTTACCGCTCTATTCTTATCCAATGTAAATTTGTGTCACTGTGCCAACAAAAATGTCCCAAATTACTGAAGTAGTAACTGATGTCAAACGTCCAATATTCGGTAAGGTAATTGATACGTTTAAGCTTAAATTGGCTTAAATTAATCTCTTGCAGTGGAGTTCCAAAACGAATTTGAACTAGATCTCAATGCGAACATAAAGTCTCGTATTCTTAAAGATAAAATATCAAGAAAAAGAATTTTCGGTTTGGCGACTGAGAATATGGTGTACTGTGGCGAAATTAAAGACCAGGACGAACTGTACAACAATTTCCTGTTGGTTCATGATCCCACTGCTCGCGAAGTACTGTCGGCCACGCGTTACATTTGCTTTAAAGTCAGTTTGATTTGTTTTCAGATAAAATTATTACAAGTTGACAATTGTTCAATGGCACCTCTGTTGATAAGTTCAACCGTCAATACAAAATCACCCATCACTGAGCGATCATCTGCACATTTGAAGAAGGAGTTCGGTTCAAAACGCTCCAAACGTATGACTGAACAACAAGAGAGGTTACAGATGAACCTTGAGAATGTTAAAGAGCATTTGGAATCGACAGTCGCTGGTAAATTACTTCTGAAGAAAATATTACAAAACTCAGTACCAAAAAATTTATTTTAGATGTTGAGGTTACTCAGGTAGATTCGACCATGCCTGATGAAACCCATAGTGAATACATACCCAAAATCAACCGGAATGCGCCAGTGAGGGAGGAAGTTTACAAATTAGAGGACCTTGTTGATGGCAATGTACTCAATTCATTAAATGAAAAGGCTTCAGAAGTGCTTGATGGTGATAATCTGAAAAGCTTTGAGTAAGTTACTTCTGTTTGCACTGTTGGCATGTTTTTATTATTTTCAAAGAATAAGGTATAAGGATTCAATTAAACTTTGAAGTCGACGTCTCAAAAATTATAATTTGTGTTCTGTGTGTGTTTGGGTTGACGTCTTTGTATGTCTGATGATGCCTGTGTGGGCGCAACACGTTTAACATTTTACAAATAGGACTTTTTGAGACATCGACTTCAAATTTTAATTGAACCCTTATAGTTTTGCGAAGACAGGTCTCTTTGAGAATAAGGTGTTTTTGTACCTCTTATTTTTTGGGGTTATTTTACTTTATAACGTTTTCCCTTGTTAATTGATAAAGGGGAATGCTAGGTACTGTGTAATAAGCCTCCTGTTACTAAAATCTAAACTAATACCAAAAATATCAGATATTGTGGGTTATGAATTAAAAATATAATGGTTTTTATTTCATTGTACTTGAACCGTTACCTTTTAAATATTTTTCTTTGACTAGGTTTTTTCTTGTTTATTCTAAAAAACATCTAATGCATCTAATTTCGTTATACTAAAGTCATTTATATGGTAATAACATATTTGGTTTGAAGGAAAATGTGTGGCAGAGACGTTTAGAGTTTTGGTTAATTGGTTAGATTCAATTTTTCAAAAATGCAAAACACTGGAAAGTGCAGTTTGACGATATTGACGACATAGTGCTGTTGCGTGAAGTCTAAATCCTTTTTTAAATCCTAATATGTGGGATATAATTCAGAAACATGGTAGGTCAATAAAATTATTTATAAATTAAACGGTCTGTCTGAAACCTCATGTGGGGGTTGAAAAATATCGCTGAAAATAATATTTCTTATAAGGTTGTAAGTGTGATTCACGCCAAGTGCTCTTCTTAACCTCATCAAACACACTTCTCAATCCATAGACACAATTTTTTGTTTTAAATGACAAAAAAATCCATCCCAGATTTGATCTAACTTTTTGATAAAGTCATATCAGGTTTAAAATTCATTCAAGAGGTACAAGAAGTCCCTGTTAACCTACACTTTGTGAGTTTATCTTCTTTTACTATGGGATTCTCTTTTTGTTTTATTAGGTTAGTTTTACCAATCAAATATATAGCTGCTTATTTCAGATTGATACCGTTCGTTTCTGCTGCGATAACAATTTTGAAATTATCACCATTTACGGATACAAAGAAACATGAAAGGTGCAAAATTCTACTCTACATTAATTATTTGGCAAAATATGCGATCACTCCAGTGAAAAACATGACGAAAAAATTTATTATCTGTAACTGGTCCCATTTGGTGGACACTCACATCAAGCAAAATTTTTCTGTCAACGGGTAAGATGCCTACTTGATAAATTATGCACAGACAATAACTAATAAATTTCAGTCAACGACCTCTTAGCATGAAAGACAAGTGCCTCAGCTATATCCTTGTGTTGTACTTGCTGGCTAAAGACTACGAAGCGGATTTGGAAATACTGGCCAGAGATTTAAAGGTGGGAGTAAAGAAGCTGATCGAGATCTCCAGAGTTTTAGCTTTCAGTCAGTTGGCCAGTAAAAAGACTACTGTGACTTTAAAAGTACCGTTACCTCCTCCGGTAACACCCTTCATCAAGAAAAGAAAACCTTAACTCATTTATTTTTTTACGAGATGTAAGTCCTGGTATAGACAATACAATTTATACATGTATATTTAGTAGATATAAATTTTTAACCGGTAATTTCATGCAATTTTTTCTTGGAATATGGGCTTGTTTTGGTGCAATTTGGTTTGAAAGGTTGTTTTTAAAATTTTGATACTATAATAGTGGGGTTGTTAGTTTTAAATCGCTAAATTTTATTCAAAAATGTGTTTACCACGCACCACCACAAATTCTTTATTGACTTGTTTTTATTATAATTTATAATTTTATTGATTATATTGATTATATATTGCTAGTTTTTTAAAATTTTTGCTTGCAAGTACTCGACTTGCAATGAGTAGGTTTTACAGTTGCTTGTTGAACATATTTAGAATTTAAGAGTCATCTTTCGTTGATTTCGACTTAATTTACATTTTTCAAGTTTATGAAAACAAACGCTTTGCGCCCATTTACACGCAAAAATTTGAGAAAAAATAGCCGATAATTTTATCTGCCAAATTTTTTGGAATTTGGTAGTAGACACCTTGCAATATTTGCATGAAAAAATTCATGTGAAAATTGTATCGTGTCTACCGGGCTTAAGTTATGTTTGTGATTTACTATATATAAATGTATATTTTCTTTTATAATAAAATGACACATGACTGCAGAGATGAAGTTTAATGATCCTACCCTACGTTTATCGATACAACATCGAACTGACAACTTTGTTTCTGTTTTTAAGCCACGATGAGCACAAATTAGAACGTAAGTGTCCTTTATGTATGACGTCATTAGGTGTGATTGTGCGGAAACGCGAATGTCATCGCGACGTGTATGTAACGGGTTCAAAACAAACAACGTGAAGTTGTGGAACACATTTATTTTCCTTAAAATAATCGATAATCAAAAAATAACGATCCAAGAAACTTAACTACTGCAGTAAAGATGTTTTATGAAACGCGAGTTCTCATCATATTACTTCATTTTTTTTTTCAAAATCTACGAAAAGAATACGTCCACTTTGGACTACTTTCTCCTTTGTATAGATTCAAATACACAAAAAATACTTAGTTCTCTGGCACCCCGATTGAACCAAGACAAGCTTAATTCGACCGGACTGCCTAAACCTAGAATGGAAAACGCTAATAACTGAAACGGGTCCATACATTTATATTTTCACTTCATATGTAAATATACCAAAAAAAAATTACAGAAAGAAAATAGTGTGACAGTAATAAAAAAAAACTTGACTAGAAAAAAAACTAAACCGTAGTGACTCGATATACTAACAAACATTAAATACTTACAAATCTATTTATTTAATTTTATACACAACAGACTTTACCGCATTTTGATTCAACGAGCGGCGACGCGTAGGCGCGCGACATCTATTTACGGCAACCATCGCATCCAAGTCGGGCAGAAGTAAAAAAAAAACTATTAAAAAGCATGAGTACCCTACTCAAAGTAACAATAGGACGCTCTACGTTCGACCACCGATCACAAATTTGACTGTAAAATTTTATTTTCACTCGACCCGAGCACCCATGATGCGCATCATGTTGCAACGAACGGAATTTTGAGGTTATTTTTAATGTTTACTGGTGGACTTCCTTTCCGGAAAACATGTGCGCCACCCGTAGTAAACGCCCACTTAAAACGTTTTAATTGACGATAAAAGTGCGAGTGCCGAAACGCGCGTGCGCGTCGTCCTCGTTGCAGGTAATAAAAACACGATTATATACCACATGTATACGCTAACTTTTTGTTTTATTTTCTCTCAGTTAACTAGAAACGGATGATTGCATCTGGTTTACACGACTGAAGTGTATCTTGACGCGGGCGCCTGTTTGTAACCGGACGCCCTGAAGCAACGCCCGCCGTCAGGGCGCCCGATACCGAAATGGAGATTAAACCGAAAACGCAAAAAATCTCGTCAGGAATGTCTCGCTGAAAATGCACATTTTCCTCACGAACGCTACACCCTAATTAAATGGTACTGAAGCTACGTTTCATATTTAAATATTACTGTAAAGCGCCATATATTATTATATGTACACGTTAAAATGGATAAGTTCAATATATATATTATTCTCTTCAACGTTTCCCGTTCACTCTACAACCTTAGGTTGATCTACGCGACGCGGCGACCGCGCCAGGCCGCCCCGACAGAAAAAGAAGAACGAGCCGTCCGCCTCCCTCACAGTTAAGACGAGGCGACCGGTCGCGGCCCACTCGGATCGAAACAGGTGGCGAATCTACTTGAGCGAGACGACTTTGTTGCTTTTGGGTCCACAAATACCTTATACATCGTTCAGAACGGACAACTAAAAACCCTAATATTGTATATGTATGTATATATGTATGTATATATATATATATATATATATATATATATATATATATATATATATATATATATATATATATATATATATATATATATATATATATATATATATATATATATACTTTGTTCTTAATAAAAATTATATATAAATATAAATAACATTTCTTTCTGTTTTTTTCGACTAACACATTCTAAATTAAACAGACATATATATACAGCGCGGACATCGGGCTGGAGGAGAGGATCCGATGCCTTGTACGAACGAAACCAATAGGAATTTGTCAACTAAACGACGTTACGGGTACACCCTGTATAGCTAAGTCGGGAATAAAAAACCTTAAAACGAGAATAAATGCGATTTTTTTTTCATAATGGCACAACATTGTATTTTGTACGAGAAAGTGTGTGTCTGTGTGTGTGTGTTTGTGTGCAATGCAATAACGTCTTGAGTGAGATACGTTTGGGTTTAAAGAAATGGAAATGTCATTACTCCACGAGAATGGTCCTGATAGTCTTGGTTCATAGAAGGATAAGAAGCGGAAAATTTGTGAGCCTTCAGGTTCACTACAGAGAGCGAAAGAGGAAGAGAGCTAATGATAAAGAGAAAAATAAACATTGAAATAATGCGAAAATTTTGCATAACTCTAACGCCACAATTATACTGTGATTAAGAGCCAACACCCAAACCAAGTAATGCGTTCTTCTTCTTTACTTATATCCGAAAAAACGGGGCCGAATAATCCGCGAAGTGTGGCCATAAGAAATAAAAAAACATCTTTAGGAAACATATCGCTCACTGGGTGCACCATAAAACTCACACATTTGTATTTTAACAATGAACAATACCAGCATATAGTTATCTTACTTCAGTTCCGCTAGAGAGAGTTAGTGCCACTTTTGAATTTCCCGCGGTTTTTAATTATCTTAGGCGCACAACCGGCACTGCCTGTGATCGCCGCAGTGTACCCTAATGTTGGTAAAACACGCGAAGAAGACAGGAACTCCTTATAAAGTCGTGAGTTACAATATATTTTTTTTTATTTTAAAAAGCTAGTAACTCAAACTTCTATTTGGGACAGTTCAGGCGATATTGTCAAAAAAAACATCTTTTAATGAAACTGACAGAAGCATAAGCATTACGCAAATAAAAATGCGAGCAGGCGCGACTTTTACATCTTTTGAAAATGTGAATCTAGACCGTGCTTTTCGAGATCTTATACCAATTGCAACGAAAAAGTTTAATGACTTAATGGATATCCTAAAAAGTAATGCTATTAAAAAGAAATCACAATCACTTTAATAATAGCTTGAAAAGCGGCAAAGACTGAAATGTCACGGGTTTTTTTAGTTACTTTTAAAAATAGGACTTTTTGTTTATTTTCCAAAAACCAAGTCAGTTGGTTATCAGCTTTTGTTTAGATGCCATGATAATTCTTGTTTAGGTGAGTTTAGGTGCCAAAGTGTATAATGCACATTTTTAGTGTTTTATTAATTTCCAGTTTGTTTTTAAGTTACTACGTATTACATTTTTATACGTATTTTTATAATAAAATGATGTTATAACTTTGATCTACTGATTTATTAAGAATTTTTTTCTCAAAATATTGCAATTTAATTTGCTTGAACTTGATGTGCGCAAAAAAAAACAATAAACGCACAAAATTTAAAAACATTTTAAAGGAAACCTCAAAAAATATTTTTTGTTTTAAAAAGAGAATAATACTACATATACATAATATATAATATATAACTACATATAAAAACATATCACTAGAAATTTTGTAATAAGTAGGAGGGTTGATATGAGTTATCTCAATATTTCAAGTTTTATTATCCTAAATCGTTGATTTTCTAGGAACTATGGCACCCAGTGAGCGATATATAAGATATGCTGCAATCAAAAAACGATGAAATTACTGATGAACTTGATGATGCCGCGACAAATTCATGTACCGTTTCAATACGACGTCGCGAGTATGGCAGACGCTGTGTAATATACGCGATAACATGATAACATTACCCAAAGGCAATAACGTGCGCGTTTGCGCACATAGCGACTAGCCTGAAACTCTCTAACCTCACAAAAGACGTTAAGGCGTCGCCTTCGCGTGTAACGGCGGGTGATAATTCGGACGAGTTGTGCAATATGGCAAACCGACTTGGTAAAACGGCAATGTGCGTGTTGCAATATTCGAGAGGTGAATCAAGAAACGGTGCGGTCGAAAACGGGGGGAGGAGATTGGTTGAAAAGGAAAAAACGCCGCGACATTTCTGAACGAAACATAACCCCACTTTCGACTCGTCGGCCGACGGTTAGGTGAATGCGGGGAGGCGGCGGGCACAGTTACCCTCCGAACACCGAGAAAAACGTCCTTGGCCGTCAAGGTTATGTTCTCGTTCTTAATAGAGGCCACAGTTACGCAGGTTGTTCGCGATGATGACGTCGGTAACGGCGTCGAACACGAACTGAATGTTGTGGGTGTCGGTCGCGCATGTCATGTGGCAGTAGATCTCTTTGGTGGTTGATTTATTTTTGGCCTCGAACTGGGCCTGGATGTAGGCGGCCGCCTCGCCGTACTCTTGGGCGCCTGCAATGGGCCAAGTACAAAACTATACGCGCACGCTCTATTGCGTCAAATTTTATTTTATTTGAATTACGAACAAGTTGATAGATCCTAGCCTATATTCTGTTTCTTAACGCGCGGGCTCGTAAAATTTGGTGGTCTTAGTCGTATTTCATAGGGGTAGTATTGTACCTATAATGATTGTCAAGGGTTCAGGGAGCGGCAGGTAGATGGCCTATTGATAGGTTGGCAATGCTAGTCGGTAGTTTGAAACCCTATAATAAATTGATAACCTCGTATAAATGGTAACATTGACAAGCTACAAAGCTTTATTTTTCTTCTCTCTGAAATTAAAGTAAAGTAGTGAAATCAAATGACTATAAATCTCTGTGGCTTGGTGCTTAAAATTAGATTTATAATTACTTTCCGGCAGTTGTTGACAAAGTTAGTGTTTTTGAATGTGTTGCTGAAAAACGGCTTAATAAAATAGTTGAAATGTGTTGCAGTTATACCGGATTGTCCCCGGCCCGATCGGGTCACCAAAGAGAAGTACAGGAAGAATAAATAATAATAAATGAGGATGAAATAATTGCCGTCAGAAGAAAAATACACTCGTTTTACTTAACAAAAAAAAAATACTTGCCTTGGACAAAATAACGCCCGAACGGAAAAAAGAGAATTTTATTCCATCTACGCGCAGGAAGAAATTGAGGAAAACTTTAAGATAATAAATTTCTGTTAAAAAAAAACTCGAAACTGAAAATCACTTTTAAAAAAGAACGATGAAATTATCTGCTGGCGACGACGATATTTGAGAGCTGTTAGACAGTTTTCTATTGCAGGTAAATGAGTGTGTCCCTAATTTTGGAACCATTAAAAACTGAACTACGGAAAACTCTTATTGCGATTTATCTGAACTTGACAATATAACCTTTAAGTTGTCAACACTCTTTAATGATCCCTGGTAATTGTAAATTTACATGTTTTTCCTCTCTCGCATTAAGAAACTTGGTATAAACCACTATCAACTTCGTATTTTACGTTAAAAATTGTGTATTACTTCATTTTTGGGAGCTAAAAAATTTTTTTTCTTCTATTCATATACTTTCAAATAACGGAAAAAAAGAACAACGATCGCCTTATAATAGGTGACATACCTGTGTATTCCGGAAAACATATGGTTAGCGGCGATTTCCTGATTTTCTCCTCGAAGAGATCCTTTTTGTTCAGAAAGAGGATGATAGAGGTATCGGTGAACCACTTGTTGTTGCAGATCGAGTCGAACAGCTTCAAGCTCTCCTGCATCCGATTCTGCGAGAAGAGAATGTTTTTTATCGTTAAAGAACACGAAAAAAAAACTGTACCATCAGTGACCTCGCTTTAAAACCTGCTACGGTTGATGTACTTAATATTTAAATTTTATTATTAAAAAACGGTGACAAATCAAAAAGTTTTTTATATTCCTTTTCGTTCTCTCGATTGACAATGCTGATACTATTTAAGAAACTTCTGGATTCCTTCTGGATCGGTTGCTATTGAGTCGAACGTTTCCGTTAACTGAAACTCAGTTTTAGTTAAGCTCTGAAGAAGCCAAAAGAATGATTGGCGAAATGTTAGCAAGTTCGACCCAACAACAACAACGCAGGCGGAATACAAAAGTTTTGTAAATAGTATTACAGTAGCCTGTGGAAGTTTCTTTGAAAAATTGACAATGTTGATAGTTATATGTAGTGTAATCCCAACCTCTGTCCGCTATATAATGACTGACTGACGGTGGCTGTAAAAAACCTAAACTACATTGGTCCGCCCACTGCTGTTTGGTGAAACCAGTGAATTCAAAACAAACAACATTTTTTATTTAGATACCAAATTAAAAGTAGTATTTGTGGAAATACTTACCTTTTCTAATTCTCTAGATTTGGTCCTATCTATTATAACTTAAGTGTTTTATTGAAAATATTCACTAATTAATAATTATTATTCCAGGAATCCCTTTAAATATTTGTTATAATAACCATCAATGAAAAGCCATGTTCATTCGCTGTTAACTACCTTTTGATTAGTCTTTATATTTAATGCAAATGCGTCTTCTAATTTTAATTATTTCTTATGGAGTATTCAGAGTGGAATGATGTGGAATGCCCAAGATGAAAAGAGATACCACTCGTTTCATCTTTGTGTGATATTTAATATAAGATCCTGTCTATCCTTCTTTTATTAATGTAGATTGCTTGCGAACCACTTTACCATGATGAAAAAGCTTTATTACTTACCGGTCTTTGACTTTAAATTCACATCAAAACATTTATCTGAATATTTATTTAGATACAAGAAAATGAAAAAAAGAAACAAATCTTGCTATGATGCAAAGTTAAATATTCTTTTATGCAAATATTTATAAGCAAATGAAATCGTGTTCGCTCAATCTAAAAGAAACGCAACAAAAAATGGCCGCCTTTTAAAAATAAAAATGACAAATCTATATCAATTATTATAGTTTATCTTTCCTCTACAAGTTTAAAATTGTATTTTATTTATTACATACTCGAAGTAACCCAGTTTCACCAAACTATAAAGATTCATTCGGTCGGTTCGAGTAGTGTTTTTCTTACATTTGGTTAATCGATTGAAAATAGAAAAAAAATGGGAAAGAAAATTGGAAACGCCGCTGCGTCGATAATAAAACATAAATTTTAACGAAAAAAGTCTCACCGTCGTCTCGTCCTCGTGCAGAACTTGATCGTACTCGCTCATGGCGACGCAGAATATGATCGCGGTGACGTCTTCGAAGCAATGAATCCATTTTTTTCTTTCGGACCTCTGACCTCCTACGTCGAACAATCTGAAATTATTTTCAACGAAATTTTAGTTCGCAACTCCGAATGAAAGAACCTCAATGAATCATACTTTACTGCTCTGACGTAGAATATATCCTAAAAAATATTGGACACCTAAGAGTATCTACATCAATAAGTGGGCAACAAACAATAGCAGAAAAATGAGGGAGGGAATTCATTGCAGATAATAGAGGTAATTAGTGGAAGTTTAAGGAAAAATGATAATTAATGGCAATTAACGAAATATAGTGAAATTATAGTGGTATTTAGGTATCGAAATATATGCAGAATTTAGTTTTTTTAGAAAAAAAAAGATGAGGAATGATATATATATATATATATATATATATATATATATATATAAACAAAAACTATTTGTGAAATAATATTTAAAAAGGTTTTTTTTACTTACATTATTCATTTAATAAAAAATCAATGCAATGGCAACGGCTGTTGGGGCAGTGGAAATTGGGGTAATTTAAGTATTATTTTGTAATTAGTATACACAGATTCCCTACTGAAATCCTCCTCGATAAATGTTGATAAACAAAATATAAAATAAATAAAATAAATTGGATTAATAAAATCATGGATCGTAATTTTACATTAAACAACCAAATAAATACGTTTGTTAAGCAGTTAAGTCGATGCGTGTTAGAATAACTCCCTACCAAATTTATAAATCAAACAAATATGTAGATAAATACATATGACACAAGACAGGACGAAATTCTGTGACGCATCCAGCCTACGCCGCTGACGTCCTTTGGTAGAACTCCCGGAATTAAGGTGAACAATATTAACCTTTATCTGATAGGTTGTCATGTTATGTCATGAGGTCTTTCCGGCGATAACAAAAAAATGTTTCAAATTAACCTCACTCACTTGAAGTTGAGATTTTTAAAGGAAAAATGGACCTCAACGATGCCGGTAGTTTTGACGCGCGTTCTCAATATATCCTGTTCAGTGGGCTGGTAGTCCTTTGCCCCTAACCGGTCTAAGCCGTCGAGGAAGCTGAAAACAAAAAGATCGTTAAGCCGTGCGACGAACCACCTCTGACTCCGCTCACTATTTGGCCGAGTCGTTAAGCTGGTATTCGTTGGATCTTCCGAAACATTCCTGCACACCCGCGTCGGCCCATAACCGTTTCATGGCGGCCAACAGCTCCTCCGAGAACGGTTCCGTGTCTTCCATCCGTTGGATGACGTCGAAAACCATTTTGCCGTCCAACTGTAAAACAACATACCGCCACGCATCGCAGATATTCCTATTCGAAATTTTTCGATAGACATTTCCGAGTTTCCATGACGTCATTGTCTATGCCGCTGACATGTGTTCATTTTTTCGGTTTAAATCTGCAGCTTCGAACCAAAGAGCTCGACCTCTGGACGGAAAACTAGTTCCGAAGGGAAAATAAGTAAAAAAAATCAAATTTCTTTGAGGTCAAAAATATATATTTATAAAGTTTTTACTAGGAATAGACCTAAGTACGCAATGACGTCATGAAAACTGGAAGATATCCTGTGTATTTAGTTATAAAGGGTAAATTCCTACTCGTGCTTTTGTTATTTAATTGCGAAGCACGACAAAAAATTTCAAATTCTAACCTCTCGCTCGTTGTTGCCATAGCTAATTCCGAGGTTTGGCATCGCTCGTAGGATGGCAACCAGCGACTGTATAGTGTTGCTGTACACCACCGGACGATATTGCTTGAAATCTTCGGGAGTGAACCCGCTTTCGTGGATAATTCTGGAAGAGACACAAAATTGCGGTCAGAGGAACGTAAATTTCCACTAACATATTTTTTAACTAAAATGCCTCCCCATAAGAAAAGACCTGGAGGGAATCATGCGTCGAAAAATTCTATATTAAATGTTTATTATTTAAAATTTATTGTCTCTATTTTCTATTGGTGCTGAACGGATTTCCAAACATGTCACGCGAAACTGCGTTGGTGCGGCCGACTGCGAACAATCTTCATGTCCAGCGGTTAATCTGTGGTCCCCGTCAACGCCCACTGCCGCACAAAAGAAATGAATGAAGATATGAATGCACAATCTGATGCAGACGATCTCCGATTTCACCGGAAAAGTGTGGGTCGTGTCCATTACACATATCGCGCCAATTTATTATTGATTTCAATTTCCTGTAACGCGCCGCAAAACAATCCGTTGGGTGTCGACGACTAGGGGAATATTAATTTCTGGCGCGCAGCACCGGACTCAGCCCACGTTGGCGTACTAGATAGCGAAATTGGTCGCGATGGACCGCTTCTGGACTGGTTTTGTCAGAGGCCAGGTTGAAAGTAAAAAGTTCTTAACTTCATAAATGTTAATATGCTACATAACAAATTATTTAGTTATGATATTAGTGAGAATGGATTTAAATGGTTCAAATCTTTTTTAAATAACTCAGGTAGTAAAGCTCAGGGACTGAACCAATAGTTACATCTCAGAATCTAGGGCGATTTTCTATCACTTTTTGCTGAAAGTTACCTGTTGTCTTGTCCTTTCCAAATAAAAAAAAACTTTTAGTCGGACTTAGCAATAAGCAATAAGGTAAGGGTAGTGTAGTTCAACTTCTAGATGTTTATTTTGATATCCACCTAACTTGGAAAATTGGTTTCCATAGAACTCTCACGTTTATATTATTTTGCAAAAGTCCATCTATGACTCAACAATAGCATTATGCATGTTGTGCTCCGTTGGAGTATTTAAATTACAAAAGTGAATCCTTAGAACAATATTTTCTGAACCTCGTTATTTTTCTTGTCATCGACTGTTTCGTGAAATGAGAATATGAGACTTTTATTTTTAACTATATATAGTTCGAATGTTAAAACTAAGCCAAATACGTATAAGTCAGTCCAAAATTTCGACATTTGTAAACAATTAAAAACTTGTTTTTTAGTCAGACAGTTTCACCGATAAAACCTTATATTCATTTACCTACTTCAAAAGAGTTGCACTGCAAATAAATTTAGATATCTGGTAAAAGGGCATCATGCTCATCATCATGATAATAGTTTATTACAATAAGTTTTGTTTTAGTCCATATTGGTATATGTATTTAATCTGTTTTGTTTAAATCTTTATAATATCCGACACTGGTCAACACAAGTCTAAATGAGAATAAATGGTTTTTGAATTTGAATTACTGAACAGATCAAAGGACAGATCCGGGCTAGGCAAATTTGCATCGCTAATTAATTGATGTTCGATTCTCATTATATGTTACACCTCTTCTATGAAATCAATATGCGTAGTCCCCCTTCTAGTCGCTAGGTGGCACCACAGCTTTAAATCAGAGCCAAAAAACTGTGGAATAACTTACCATGCACGGTATATTCGCCATCTATGGTCTTAACCTCATTCCTCTTTTTGTGCTTTGGTGGCACATGTTCATTTTCATTCGGTGTCGGTGTTTTCAGCTTTTTTCAGCGTCTTTGGAAGTTAAATGGAGAAGTACAAGCGAGATTTACGTTATTCCTTATCGGATGAAGAAAGAATCTACCTACGGCGAAAGATTAAATCTTTCCGTCCGCGATTACATAATCGCTAGTGGCGTGGTTCCCATCAACGAGATTTTCTCACAATTGGGAGACGATTACTTCATCGTCCGGCTTCCGATCGGAATCCCCAAAACTCGAAAGACCCCCCATCTTTCCCACTTATACGACAACAGTCGTATGTAAGTGTTTCACAATTGGAAGCAATCCTTTTGTGAGGGGGTCGGACATACATATGGTTTTATATTTTTTTGACATCGAAAAAATAGAGTTGTCTGGCTCGTCCGGCTATGGATGAGGCGCCTGGGATACTGGGACATAATGAACAATTTTTTATGGCTGTTGGAATGCACTTACACCAACGTAAGTATATTTTTTAGGCCCTTCAATTAATTCTGATGTCATTGTTGAGCCCCTTGAGAAGGATTTAGAGCAAAATGGCCTTTAAGCTCGATAGTCCCAACACAAAGTTTGACGTGTCATGACATTTTGGCAAGGCAGATTAATACCTTTTTGAAATCCGGTGTGTCCGAAGATTGTCTCAGTGACCTTTTGCGTTAATATCCTGTGCCGAACTCTCCTAAATTGAATGTGCAGATGAAATCTGCCATCAACAAAGGTGGAAAGAAAAGGGATGAGAGACTGGCTACAACAAGGGCTGCTTTGATGGTGGTTGCTAGGGCGCTCTCGACCTTGCTTTTGAAGTCGGTTAAGGATGAGTAGTACTTACTTCTCATCGAAACGTTAAGTAATGCAATATTTGTTTTAAGCAAAATACACCATTTAGGTTCAGTATATAGAAGTTCAGCCGCGTTAAGCCTTTCGCTGGTCTCAAATGAAATACAGCCTTGCATGAAGGAAGTGCTTGTTGATGCTTCGTTGCACTCTTGTTTATTTGGAGAAGATTTGGCTGATAGGCTCAAATCAATCAGATTAGCTGCAAATTAGTGGCCGAGTTGAAGTCAGGTGCATCCAGAACAAGGCTTTTATAGCATACGAATTTAAACTCGACCGTCCCACTTCGTTCCCGGAAGTTCCAAGGCTGAAGTGGGTGAAAGTCATTGTACCCTCAAAAGAGGAAATACAGGAAGGTTCGAGAGGAAAGGGGAGGAGTTGTGTCCCCAGGAAAAAATAGTAAGTACTTTTGTTGAAAGATTGCACGAGTTCCGGGACATTTGGAACTCTATAACTCAAGATGAACAGATCCTACCTTTGTTAGATGGATATAAAATTAAATTTGCGAGGCCAGTTATACAGGACAGAAGAAAAAGAATCAATTTGTAATGTGGTCAAACACCTGGTAGAGATAGGTGCAATTGCAGTTTGCGAATCTTGTAACAATCAATTTATTTCACAGGTCTTTACAGAATTAATGAAATCAGTGGTTTCTTATTTCCCTGCCAAGGCTTTTCCCTCAATAGTTTATTTAGATAACTTTACTATTTGGTGATAGTTAGCTATCCTTAAAAAATGTTCAACACACTGATTAGGTTGGGTTTTGTTATTAATTATGAGAAGAATGTTTTACGTCCTTGGAAATCCCGTAAATTTTTAGGTTTTGTTTTTTTTGAATCCCATCACTTGTTTTTATCTGATGAGTAAGTAAGTTTTGCAATTTGAACCATTGTAAAATAAGAGTCTTTGCCGAGCTTTGTGGTGTGCTAGTTTTCAGTTTGCCCAGCAGTTTCTTACAGTTGGGTATATACTAAGAATTTTTGAGAGAATCAAATATCTAGCCCTTCAAGACTCTGTCGATAATTATGATACTTGGATGATAATTCCTTGTATAAGGGATTTTATGTGGTGGCTAAAAAGTTTACAGAATCCTGAATGCCCTGTAAGGCAGCAATGTTACAAACTTGAGATTTTCTCACATGGTACTCCTTTGGGTTGGGGAATTGTATGCCAAGGGAATTGTGCCAGAGGACTTTGGAGTCCTAGGGAAGCTCAGCTTCATATTAATGCACTAGAATTAACTGCGGCCTCATTTGGTCTCTAATGCTTCGCCTCCTATTTGACTAACTGCGAGACACTTTTGAGGATTGATAACACAATTGCTATTTTGTATGTAAATAAAATATTGTATGTAAATAGAAATTTCGAGGCGCCTTGGGGTTGGTGTGAAGAAAGGAGGTTATGGGTTAAAGCATCTTAAATTCGATCTTCCGATAATTTTGAAGCGGATAAGGAATCCACGAATTTGAATTTTGATGGTGAATGGTACCTTTCGGACAATGCTTTTGCTAAAATAACAAGTAAATTGGGATTCCCATAAATCGAACTGTTTGCTTCTCCCTGGGCTGTATTATATTTCCTTACTATTCATTTTAGACAAGGCAAGTCCTATGGCTCATTGAGTTCTTTCAGAGCAGCACAGCCTTATTTTTGGTTCAGAATTATTTAACAATGCAAATCTAACTAGGTTTTTTAAGGTATTTATAATCTAAGGCCAAGTAAACCAAGATATGACAGGCCCTAGTTATGTCCCTGACTTTGTAAAAGGGTTACGTTCTAATGACTTGTCATTAAAGCAATTAACTGTCATTAAAACAATTAAATTAGTTTTCTTACTGAAGTTAACAATTGTACATAGAGTCCAAACGCTCTCTCTTATCGAATTGGTCAACAAAAATCATTTCCAGATGGATTAGAAATTAGAATAACGAATCAAATTAAGATTTCAGCTATAAATAAGACTCGACCTGTTTTTAATTTTGCATAAATATGAAGATGTAAATCTTTGTGTGGTTTCAAATATTCTGTTTTTTATTGAGAGGACCAGTGCTTTAAGAGGCAGTGAATCTCGTTTACTCATTACATTTAAAAAGTCTTGTAGGGCAGCAACTATACCCAACAAAAGCAGATGAATAAAGATAACTTTAGAAGATAGTGGCGTCTACACTTCTATTTTTACTGCTCACAACACTCGACATGCCTCAACATCGTCTGCGTTTTGTAAAGGTGTTTCAATTGATATGATTGGAAAAACGACAGATTGGTGAGAATGCTCTAAATGTTTTGCCCTTTTTTATAATAGATCTATTTGTACAGCAGGTGCAGGCTTTTTTGTTAATGCCACATTTGGGACATATAATTTTTCAGAAGGTTTGTTTTCTCGGACAGCCATTTATTTTGTATTTGTACTCGAGGCTTTCATAAACTTCATAAGGTTTGGATTTCCTTATATAGCCGAATAAAATCGTTTTATAACAAATTTGCTGAGTTGCCTTTGAAAGTCTCCGTATATTGATTTCATAGAAGAGGTGTAAAATATAATTCGATGATCAAACGAACTTACCTGGTAAGTGAAGTTCGATCGTAATTATATGTTACACCTCTTCGTAGAAATCACCCATTCCCGCCCAATGTTCTGTTCTGAACAGTACTAAAATGCCCTTTGGCAAATTTATTATAAACGGGCTTTAAAATAGAATGAGGTTAAGACCATAGATGGCGAATATACCGTGCATGGTAAGCTATTCCACAGTTTTTTGGCTCTGCTTTAAAGCTGTGGTGCCACCTAGCGACTAGAAGGGGGACTACGTATATTGATTTCTACGAAGAGGTGTAATTACGATCGAACTTCACTTACCAGGTAAGTTCGTTTGATCATCGAAATATTTTGGCAAACAATAAGTTATCTGACAAACGACAAAATGCATTTTAATTTCAAGATTCCAAACAAATGACCGGAGACTAAGATTTGGTTAATAGAAACACTATTCGATTCGCAACATTGCCGTTATGTTCCTGTACCTAGAAAGGGAAACAAAATAAAGTTAAGTTCTCCTAGCCTGTCCCCACAATATAGATGTCCCCTGGTTATTCCAACTTTAGGCATAGAAGGAACACTCCTATCCAAGAGAGGGAAACCATTCATACAGAATAGAAAAAAGGGATGGGGGTTTGGGTGATATGCGTCTGCGCGTAACAGTAAGTCCAAATAATAATAAGTTACCAAATAAAAGAAAAATCTCATTTTATGAACATTTTAAATACATAAGCACAGTATATTAAAGCAACAAAGTAAATGTTGACATCGGAAATAATATTTATAGTGAGTTAATTTTTTGGTTGACAGTTCTGACGTTACTATTTATATTTATTAACTACCCGTCCATAACATCTTATTATGATGCACAGGTAAGTTTGATAGTTATGCATAATAATTTCTTAACCCCAAAGTTTCTTTCTACCACATGGATGTTCTGTCTTTCTTTCTACGTGAGTAAATAGGTTTTTATACCCTAGGAGTATTAATTCTATAGGCAGGATGGTGGGGTTGACCGATACTACTTTAAATACGGAGAAATAGAGACGCGGCAACACTGCCAGGCGCGAAAGTAATATAGAGCAACCGCGGGCGGTGACGTCACCGTGTGACACCGCCCAAACCTTTCCAGGTGGTCGCCGTGCTGTGTGCTGCTTCGAACATCTCGGGATTGAATGGCGAGTAAACAACAACTTGTGGATCGGGATTTTTGGATCGACGCTGTTTAAAAATAGATACTTTCTACTCTGACAATTCGCCGCCGTCTGGTTCGATAACAATCGTCGCGTAATTTTCGGTACGCGTTTCACGTGTCCGTAGGGGCAACGGGCGACACCATAACCTCCAAAAATGCGCACCTCTGAATCAACTAACAGCGGTTTGTTTTTGACAGGGAACAAATTTTATTTTCTACCAAAAATAATTTCATAAACTTGAAGAAAGGGTTCTAAAAATAATTGAAAAAGCAGTGAGCAATTTGCATTAAAAGGCTTTTCAGCAATTTGAGAAATTTAGAATTCTCTGACTTTTTACAAGTTTTCCCAGACAACATTTCAAGTTAAGCCAATTTGGAAAAAAAAGTTCTGAGAATTTTTAAGCTCGTTAAGATGTTATAGACATAATCTATGTCTGATTACGGAAATTTGTAAAATTGAAAATTTGCGCTTCCTTTGACTTTTCCAGGTTTTCTAGGTAGTGGATAAAAAAATATGACCGTTTTAAACAATATCTGTAAAAAAATAATTTTTTATATTCTCTATGGATAGTTTATGGATTAAAGGAAAGAACGCAAATTTGTTTCTGTTCTTTTGTTCGCACTAGTGGTTGAAAAAGTGTAAAATATGCATTTGAAAAAGTTCAAAACCTTCAAATAGAAAGCGAGATAAGGAAAGTCCTATTATTTTAACCTAAAGGCTAAGTAGTTAATGGATTGACCTACAGATATTATGAAATATAGACTTATGTATTTAAAAAAATTCCCAACCTGTATATCAAAAATGAAGAATGGACCCAAAAATCACCTTTAATATTGTATATAAATATACTGTATATATTCCCCATTTCTATTTGCAAATTATTGACCCCCCCCCCCTTATCGTAAACTAGGATATCGGCTATTTTCGGCGATTTTGTTCGAACAAAAAACACGCGTAATCGAAATGATTCATCCGGCATTTTCGCGAAAATATTTTTCTCGAAAAAAAATTAAAATCGAATTTATTGATGCGTATTGTAAGCGCGCATCGGTTCCCGGAATGATAAATATTTTAATAAATCGGAAACTAAAAATAAAATTCGTAAAGTGTATAGCAGACGCTTTTTCGTTAAACTGTCAAGCGACGAAATGCTCTGCGAAATGGCAGGTTTCGATTGAAAAAAAAAATTAAAAATTTCCTTTCACTTAACCGTCCATTGACATTGAAATGACGAAAAATTCTACCGTAATGTTTCTCGTGGACAATTTTTTTCATTAAATTCTCAATCAAATGCAAACAAGAAAAACTGCCACGCAACAGCCAACAAAAAATCACATATGTCAAATTCACTTTGACATAAAATGAACGAAAAATTAGCTTTCGTTAAAGTTTCAGTGATATGTCAGCTTGATTTTGACGACGAAAAAGCTGGCCGTAATTATTAAATAGATACCATGAGGTTGGTTTTTTTCTTTAAATATAGATAAAATTGTCATGGAAATTTCAAGTTAATTTTGACAAAAAAAAGCGTATTTTATTCACCGGCGTTTTCTTCGTTAAAATTACAGACAACCAAATTCTCTATGAAATATCATCTTTACTTTCCTTAAATTGTAAAGCAACTTTCAGTTCAGTCTACTTTGACTACGGAAAAGCGTGTAATAATAATTAGTGTGATGTATGTATACTTACTTCATTTGTTTTACTATCGTGCTTTTTCCAGACTCGCCGGCACCTGAAAAAGAAAAACGGGTCTTAAAAAAAATTCTTACAAAGCAAGTAACATTCTTTTAACCAAAAAATTTTTTTTTATTCAATATTTAAAGACATTTTTGGACACTGATTATGACACACTGGAAGTTTTTTATCTAAAAACTTATATTACCGGCAAACGGGAAGCAGCCCAGAAACCCATCTCACTGGGATACTTCCTTGCCGGACATATTACTTCGCGAGTTCTGCCCCGCTATCAAAATGCTCGTCTTTTGTTAAAAAAAAAGGGAAAAAATTTGTTGAACTTTATGAGGAAATCGCAGCCTCGCTAGCCTTAATTTTCCAAAACGGAGGCCGGATGTGTGTGGTTAAAACGCGGGACGTATCACGTACGAGGCTGTTATTTTATTCGCTTTAATTGAAAAGAGTGCAACTCAATTCTATTTAAGCGAACCCACGCGATACGGCGAGGGATTCCGCGTCTACCGAAAATTTGGCAATTCCCGATTACTGCAAAATTCTCTGTAAAAGGCCCCCGTCATGTTTTTGGAACGAAATATTGGGTATGGTCTGTTCATAGATATAAGAAAGTGACAAATTGCTTCTGAATTGTGGTCCGTAATAGAAAATAATTTTATACCTACCTGTGTTTAGTATTCTTAGTTTCAGTTTATTAGTAATCATTCTTATTTCGTGTGTAATACAGCGTGTGTTGAATCGTGTGCGAATTATGCAAAATATGTTCCAGTCTAGTGTTCTCAGGACATGCTGCCGCCCAAACGTAGAAAACACTAATCTCTTGAGACTAAGGGAGTTATAAACAATGTTTATTTGACTCCCATTGCACGTGGTGCCAGTAAGCAAGCATCTTTAAAAGAAACGACCACATTGACGAAAATTCCAACATCAACTGTATGGAAAATTGTGAATAAGATGTAATACGGCGTAAAATTTACCAGTTATACGAGGAACAAAGCGTGCATACATTAGATATCTTAATTAGGAGGCTTGAAAAAGATGAAACCGGTGTTAAATGTGGCAGAACCACCTTATGGAAGTGTATTCAACACATGGGTTTTAGATTTAAAAAAATTGACAAAAGTTTTAATGGAATCTTTTAGAATTCGGAAATGGCGACCGGAATATCTAGAAAAAATTAAGATTTACTCAACTGATAAGTGTAAAACAAACGCGCCATCAAAAAGAGGTAAAAGAATAACTATTTGCATGCTGGCTCTAAAGATGGTTGGATTCCAAATGGCCTTTGTCTGCCACCACCACCACCGCTGATTTATTTGAAGGTTGGTTTAAAAACAAACTAGTTCCAAAGATTCCTCCTAATAGCGTCATTGTAATGGACAATGCAAGTTATCACAGTAGACAGTTGACTAAAACTCCTTCCTCATGTGACACAAAAGCAACAATCCAAAACTACATGTTTAACGACATTTATTTTCACGAAGATTATACCGAAAAGCAATTAATTGAGGTTCTACAAAGCTTGAACCTACAAAAAAATACGTCTGTGATAATTATGCAAAAAGTCTAGGGCATACAGTTTTAAGGTTTCCACCTTACCACTGTATATTTAATCCCATTGACCATGTTTGGCCCCAACGGAAATCTGCCATTCGTCGTAACAATGTTTTTCCTCGTGTTAACTCCAATGTCCTCAAACTTATAGAAACCGAAGTTTTTAACATCCTTCCACAAAGTTGGCAAATTCTGTTGAACATAAATAATATAAAACAAATAATTATTAGAACAGGCGATAATAGTGATAGTGATACTGATATATTATGTGAATATTTTTAAGTAATTTAAGTAGGTAATAAAAATAATTTGTAATTTTATTTTAGATTTAAACATAAATACATACATAAATAAATAAGTATTGTTTAGTATCTTTCCTAACAAAACCCCAAATAATTATTTCATTCTTACAGCTTGCCCGGGTCTTTCCTTAATTCGTATCAGTTAGTCACTTTCTTATATCTACGCACAGACTATAAAAACTTTTTACCTGCAATACTAACGAACGGCATTTCAACTTCGAAAAATCAAGAAATAATATTGCGCCATACCGACAATACGTTGACCTAAATAACTACTCAAAATATATGATGAACTCTGCAAGCCGACGGGAACGTGGACCCTTTAAAAGGGAAAATTTTTCCAGCAGGGGGTGTTTTCTAATTAAATTATTTGGGATTTTATCACCTAAACCGTTTCCTATGCTAGCTAAGTCAAAATGGATCTTGGGATCAGCCAATTTTTGAAGCGACTGTTCATCTCAAACCAGATGGGGATATTTAGCGGGGGCAATTATTGGATCTAAAAAGTGAAAGAATGTTACAATATTTTCTAGGTATTATAGACCCGATCGCAAAGAAAACATTATATAAAAATTACCATCATCATCACCGGATTAAATTAAAAGGCTAGGTCGTATTTTAGAGCCTACTGTCATTTGATATTTTTATGGGTTCTTTAGTCTACCTCTGCAATAATAAAAAAGACATTTATGTAGCAGTATAACAAAGAGGTTTCTTAACCGGTGGAATCCAGCTCACTATTATTCTATTTATTAACATGTTTGGCATCAACTGAAATCTGCCATTAGTCGTAACAATGTTTTTCCCCGTGTTAACTCTAATGTCCTCAAGCTTATAGAAACCGAAGTTTTTAACATCCCTCCACAAAGTTGGGCAAATTCTGTTAAACATATAGAAAAAGCAGAACAATCGTATATCCATATTGCAAATAATATAGAACAAATAATAATAACAACAGGCGATGAGCGCGATAGTGATACTGATATATTATGTGAATAATTTTAAGTAAGTTAAGTTGGTAATAAAAATAATTTGCAATTTTATTTTAGATTTAAACATAAATACATACATAAATAAATAAATATTGTTTAGTATCTTTCCTAACAAAACCCCAAATAATTTAATTGTAAGCAAAGTACGGACCTGTTCGGCCATATTTCATTCTTACAGCTTGCCCGGTTCTTTCCTTAATTCGTATCAGTTAGTCATTTTCTTATATCTATGAATAGACTTTAAAATATATTTCCTGGATTACTGCTACTACTTTATCAACTGCTATTTGCTAAGCTAAGCTTTGAGGTACATAATGTTAATTTGACATTGGCGTTTTAAACAAGTTTATTTTTATGGTACTTGAATGCTTGACTTGATGGTGTATTTATTTTACGAGTATTATAGTATGCATTTAACGTGACCATCTAGGTTTGAAAAAACCTCTATGTGTCATACCATTTGATACAATTCCATTTAGCTGAAATTGATTACTTAAACTTAGAGAGTAACCAATTCTAACGAATACAATAACAATACAGTACAATAACAAAAAAAATCTAAATGTCGATCTAAAAAAGAAATAGTATATTATTATTATATATGTTTATCTTTTGCATTTCGTATTTACATTTATCTAATGGTAGTAAACCAAAAGCACAGAGCAAAAAAATGAACACTGGAAAATAATTTGGGCCAGTCCTAAATTTCATATATCAAATGTCTAATATTATGATACATACATCCATACAATTGTAGACATAGTAGAAAAACGATCTTTCAAACAATGCTTTGTGATGTGGAGGAGGAGAAATAAGACTTCTACATCGAAGATTCAAAGTGTGAATATCAGTTCGGTATTTTATTTTTTTAAGGAGATATGGAGGGCGGGAATTAAAAATTATGTTACGGAAAAAAATGTCTACATGAAACTGTCGACGTTTTTTCGTTGTTTGATAGTTTGATAGTTTATACGATATGCGATCACGTCGCCTGACACCGTAGATTAATTATAACCACGCCATTTACACTTACGTTACTTTACATCGCAAGAGATTTACTGTAGAAAAAAAAGCAATGTATTGAATTCTTTTTTGTATTTTAATTGTAAATTCTTATTAGATGGACATCCAGTACCGCAGTTTTGGATGAAATTTTATTAATTTCGTCACGATTATCTAAAAAGTTAGGAATTTTGTTACGTTTGTTCACAATTTTTAAAAGATGGCTATATTAGTTTCGTTTGTCATCTGTATGTAATCCCATTATATTCTACTTTAGTTATCGTGAATTTTTTAATAGTTTTTTTTTTAAATTTAATCATCAGCTTTATGATATCTGTCAACCATATGATGGTTCGATTTTGATTTTTTTATTGTTGGATAGGTCTCTGAAGAATGCACTAAAACCTTGTTTTGCTTATTGCTTCAACATAAAATCATGGCCAACTGGGATTATTTAACAAACGAGGGAGAAGAGAGAAGTAATATTAGGGATTTTTTTAAAAATAAATTGGCAACGAATTCTTATCCAGAAGTAATTAGAACCCAACTATAATCATATCGTTTGAGTCCCACTTAAGGCTGTACATAGTTGTAAAATCTTTAATAACGGTTTGATTTTGATAATCTTTTTGCACTAAAACCTTATGTTTTCTATTACCACCTGAAGTCATGGCTAACTGGGACTAATTTTTGATGTCAAATATCGACAAGGGCTATTAGGGATTTCTTTCAGGATAAAGTGTCAGGACTAGATAAAACCTAACTATACGAATTTCCATGAAGTTCGAATTTAGAGAGATCGAAATATCGCGGACGCCTCGCTTAGCATTGCTCCTGTAGAATGTGTGTTTATTACTTAATTTTGATAATTCTTTTTTGTTGGATAGATTCCACTGAAAGACACTAACAATGTTCTTAAAATAAAATATGATTAGAGAGGATTACATATGAACTAAACAGACTTTACAATGCTGTATTTTTTTAATTAAAAAGGATGTTTAATTATCGCCTATTAATGAAAACAACAGAAATATCAAAATTGATTGAGGTCTGCATACTTTTTCCTTCGTAAAACCAAGTTCGCCATGGAAAAACGAACATTCGACAGTCAAATTCACTCTCCAATTTATATTTTAATTTCGTTTACATCTTTCGAATACTTAGATTTATTAATGCTGTTTTAAGATGATATT